TCTAAGCCCCTGCCACTCGGTTTGGCAAAAGCTGTGAACTTGCCTGAAGAAACTCCAGTTTGTTTACATCATCGTCGAACCATCAAAAAGCAAGATAGTCGCTCATCATCGCCGTTTCCCAACCAACATTCCAATTAACTAAGCTTAATTCCTGTAATAATTTGAATATATCAACAAAGTTGAAATGGTAAGCTGCCCACCGGAACGATTACAAAAGCTTCGCTCCGACAAAGGGCTAACGCTCGAAACGTCAGCTTTTGTAATCGTTACGGTGGCCAATTTACCATTTCAACTTTGTTGATATATCCAAATTAATTCGTTACTCCCACCGACGCAGCCCCAAACAGTTTCTTTCGAAACTATCAGCCTTCATTCATTCATGTTTATTTTACCTTTTCATATAACACTTTAATCCATAGTAACCTGACTCTTAGAGCCTAGATTTAGTTAAATCAAAGGCATTAGCACCTAAAGAATTGGTCTAAAAAAGAACGAAGCTTCTGAAAAATATGAGGCAGGTTCAAACAGAGCAGTCTCTGTCTCAACGGTTAAACTCCGCTGTAAAACATAGTTAAGTTGACCGAACTTTTCATCTTAGTTCAGTTCATGTGATCAATGCCATAGGGCCAACAGCTAACTTTGAAAAAACATTTATTTAAACGCATCAACTCGTTAAAGTTCAATGATTATTTGACACCGCACACTAGTTAGACTTCATTTGAATAACCGAATCAAAAAGTTTACAAAGGTGGAAGTTGGTCAAAATGAACCAAAAACAAAGCAAAATCGTTGCAAACAAAGAGTAGCACCTAGTAGACTAACGAAAACAACGAACGTACTGGAAAGATTTCCAATAAATTTTCAACATAACGTTCGCGTAACAACTAAGTCCTTGCGGGATTTCAGTCAAAAATATATCCAATAAAACACATTTAAAAGAGAAGACATTAGAACATGGAGAATCTACGATATTTCCCCTCTGACGTTGTATGCAGACTTTTCAAACTCGTATCATTAGAGCATTTATAACAATAAATTGAGACTAACCTACTATGCTGACAGTTGAGGAAACACTGTCCGTTCCAGCAATGCTTTGGACGCTACACTTATAATTAGCGCTGTCATCAACAGTTGCTCCTTTAATTACCAGACTGTTACCACTGCTAATTGACCCCCTCCCTTCCGGAGTAACCTGCACGCCGTCTCTTTCCCAAGAAACAACTGGTTTTGGTATTCCACTAACTGGACACCTGATGGTTAAGGTTGTGTTTGAAGGGGCCGTCACGTTATCACCAACGTTTATAGTCACTGGACTGCCATCACCAACAGGAATCACTCGTCCAGGTCTTTGAACTTCTATTACTGGTTTCACAGGTTCTGAAAATAATTTCAATGAAACTCTGGATAAACCTAGCCGACCGTGCTTCCATGGCAAAACCAATAAAATTGCTTAGAATGTTCATTAAAAAAAAAGAGTTTTGCACGCATGAAAATTAGGTTCTTTTATAGAGAGCAAGCCATCGACGAAGTATCCATACATTCGTTGGGGAAAGGTGTTCTCCAATCGTTGAGTACCTAATTTCAGCATAGTGAGCGGAGGACCAACTACCTTTTAGACTTGAAAAGTTCCTTTGCAGGATAACAAATGACCCAAGTAACACAGAAAACTTACCTACTATCTGCACTGAGCTAGACGCACTAACTTTACCAAAATCATTTTCTGCAGTGCATGTGTATTGCGCAGCGCCTGATTCATCAGGTTCGCGGATGAAAAGTGATCCATTATCGTGAATTGAGTATTTATCTCCACTGCTAATTTTCTGACCATCTTTTGTCCAAGTGACAACTGGTGGTGGTATGCCGCTAGCGTTACACTGAATGGTAACACTTGTCTTAGTAAGCGCTGTCACGTTGTTTCCAACAGTCATGGCGATGGGATTTTGGTCCATAGATTCTATCGCCTTTGGCTCGTCAGAGCTGTTTATCACAGGCCTCTTGGGATCTATATGATGACATGCGAAAATCATTTTAAAATGGCTATAAATATCAATTAGCTGCGGAAGAGTTACTCAGTTTTAGTTGATCATCGATTGAGTACTTCCTTTGCCTAAAGCGGCACCACGATTTCTTTTTTTTTTTTTCAGAAACAAACAACCTTGCGAAGTGGAAATTGCCAATTACTCTCCCAAACAAAGACGAAGGGATTACTCGAAGAATGAGAAGAATGCAAAAATGAGTTGCTCAGTCTTGTCACAAACCTAACAGAGAAATAAAGCTTGATGCACCGTCCTGGCCAACAAAGTTCTGTGCAACACATGTGAACTCTCCAGGATCTTGGACTCCTCTGATGATAAGGGCTCCGTTGTTGTCAGTGTTGTAGTTTCCACCATTACCCAGTTGTTGTCCGTTCATTTCCCAAGTCATGCTTGGCTCAGGGAATCCTGAAGCTGTGCAGTTGATGTTGACAGGAGTGGTGAGTATAGCTGTAAGGTTGTCTCCGACTAGCATGTCTACAAGCTCTCCGCTACTGATGTACGCCCTATTGGAGATATCAACTGTCGGTTTGACGGCCTCTGAAGGAAAACAATTTATACTGAGTGTAAACAAATTCATGATTGAGATGAAGATAAACAAACAACAAACTCGTAAACTCCCAAATTTTGAGTCCTTCCCGCAGATGTATTGAAATTGAAATGGAAAGGTCCAATACCATCTCTCTTACGTGTAGGTGATCATATTTTGTACGTCTACTACAATTTCCTGTTTGCTGTTACTCAAACGTTTACTCCATATTTGCTAAGTCTACAGGTAAACAAACACCGTAGCAACAACCAACGTTGTGATTGAATCTATCTAAAATCCCGTGGGACTCTCCATGTAACGCCAGTGAGGAACNTACAGGTAAACAAACACCGTCCCAAAAGTATTAAAATGGTAAAACGATCACATCAATAATTAATAATTAAGAGCAACATAGAGTTGGTGTTGTTTTCAGGCTGCAACATGAATTGCATTGGTACAAATAGTTTTATAAGTCCTCGGATTGTCAATGACATATATCTCTCGAAGTGCGGTCGAATAATATGAATAAGATGAAGATAAACAAAAACAAATTCGTAAACTCCCAAATTTTGAGTCCTTCCCACAGATGTATTGAAATTGAAATGGAAAGGTCCAATACCATCTCTCTTACGTGTAGGTGATCATATTTTGTACGTCTACTACAATTTCCTGTTTGCTGTTACTCAAACGTTTACTCCATATTTGCTAAGTCTACAGGTAAACAAACACCGTAGCAACAACCAACGTTGTGATTGAATCTATCTAAAATCCCGTGGGACTCTCCATGTAACGCCAGTGAGGAACCCTTTGTCGATCTAGTTAATGACCATTTCTTAACACAAACAAACAAATTATCAACGCGGGACAAAAATATTTTAGACCTTATTATTTCAAGCAACCCACAAAGAGTGACAATGACTGCAGTATTATCCCCCCAAAGTGCAGGAATCTTCACTGACCACAATATCTTGTCTTTTGATCTCAAGGCCACGGTTAAAGCTCCAACGAAAATCCACAGAAATGTTAACAATTACAAAAAAGCCGATTTTGATGGCCTACGTCACGCTTTGAATGTAATCAACCTCTCTCTGCTCTTAGTAAATGACAATATCGATGATAACTGGCAAAATTGGAAGGACACCTTTTTAGCCGCGGTCTCTGACTTTGTCCCTACTAAGAGAGTTAGAGGTCGTAGCCCACCTCCCTGGATAAACAGCTCTATTCTACATAAAATTAAACAAAAAGAAAGTGTAAGGAGGAAACTGAAAACATCTCCAACCACGTATCTCAGAGAGAAATTTAAAGCTTTGCGATCAAAGGTTAAACAACTCCTACGTGATAGCCGAGAGAGATTTTTTGAAGACCTCGAGAGAGAAGCAAAGGACAAACCGAAACGCTTCTGGACAGTAATGAGACATAAAGATAAATCCCGATCGGTTCCAACACAGATGTCAATGACTGATGTAGGCGCTTCATCCAGCCCTTCAGAAGTTGCTAACATATTTAACCGTTACTTTACATCAGTATTGAACTTAAGTTCAACCCCACAACAACGCATCTGTACCCACTAACGTTAACAGACCTGAGCTTAACTGCTGAAGAAGTTAAAGATATTCTACATTCCTTAGATTGTTCAAAGGCCACTGGCACTGATGGAATACCAGCAAAACTACTCAAAGAAACTGCTGACGTTATTGCATCTTCACTTTGCTTGTTATTTAATCGATCACTCAGCTCTGGCACCATGCTAAAGGAGTGGAAACTGGCCAACATAGAACCTGTTTTCAAAAAAGGTGATCGTCAACAAGTAGAGAATTATCGACCAATATCTCTACTACCCATAGGTTCTAAAGTATTGGAAAGATGTATTCTGAATAACATCCAAACTCATCTATACAACCACGTGGGTAAGCATCAACACTGCTTCTTAAGAGGAAAATCTTGTAACACCAACCTCATCGAAACATTGGATCGTATTGGCTGCCAGCTTGATAGAGGAAGTCAAATTGACGTCATCTATGTGGACATGTTAAAAGCCTTTGAAAAAGTAAACCACGCCCAACCCTTGTCTAAACTTCATATCTTTGGTTTTGGAGGGAAACTATACGAATGGTTCCAGTCGTACCTCACAGGTCGTCTCCAACGCGTTAATGTTCTTGGCGCAACATCTGATGCATTACCTGTTACATCAGGAGTCCCCCAGGGGTCCATCTTGAGGCCCGCTCTGTTTTTGCTCTACATAACCGACCTTCCGAACGTGGTCTCCGAGAGCGAAACTGCAATGTTCGCAGATGACACCAAATTGTACAAAGAAATTAAATCTACTGATGATGAACATGCTCTCCAGATGGACTTAAATAATATCGGATCTTGGTCCACAGAATCGGGCTTAGAATTTAATGAGACGAGAAGCCACCACCAGTCCATCACACGTAAAATCAAGCCACTGAACACTGCCTACGATAAGAATGGAGCTATGTTGGAGAGAACAAGTCACGAACGCGATCTTGGTGTCTTGGTCTCCACTGACCTAACATGGAATCGCCAAGTCTTAGAGCAATGCTCACGCGCAAACAAGCTCCTTGGGTTTGCTAAAACGAAACACGCGTCACATACAAAGTACCAATGTAAGAAGATCAATCTATCCAACCATCGTTAGACCTCATCTGGGCTATGCTACACAAGTTTGGGCATCACAATCTATTTATCTCAAATCTAGAGAAGATACAGAGAAGGGCTCCAAAATACATCTTGAAATTACCATTCTCGTGCTCTCAGAGTTACGAAGAACGACTAAAAACTCTTTCCTTACTACCTATTAGCTACTGGCATGAATACTTAGATATGTTACTGTTTTTTTAAGATTACCCATGGTTTGGTGGATATAGACCCCGCAGTTGTTCCTATTGCCCGTTCTACAAGACACACACGATCGTCGGCCAATACAACTGTTACTAAATACTTTGTACCTAAATGCAAGACCTCAACCTTTCAACGGTCATTTATTGTACGAACAATAAGAATCTGGAACACACTGTCTGACGTGTTTAACTTAAGTATGAACAATGTGAGTGACTTTAAACGTGTTTTGATGTGTTATTATTCGACCGCACTTCGAGAGATCTATGTCATTGACAATCCCAGGACTTATAAAACTATTTGTACCTATGCAATTCATGTCGCAGCCTGAAAACAACACCAACTCTATGTTGCTCTTAATTATTAATTATTGATGTGATCGTTTTACCATTTTAATACTTTTGGGACCACAGTAATTGGATATCGCTGTTGTGGTTGCCTGGCCGTTATTGTTATTGCTATTTAATTTTATCCAGCCATGTTATAGGTTGTATGTATCGTTGGCAAAGCTAATAAACTACCTAAACTGTTTGAAGTAAGTGCAATAGTAAGAAGCAACTTGTAGATTTTCATTTTACTGGATAGGATTGGAGCATTTAACAGCAAGTCCCAAGATTTTTTCTTGGACAACCGAGTAAATTTTCAGGCTTGCTGCCTGGTTTTGAAGGTCTTTGGACAACAACATCGCTCCCTAGTTACAAGGCTAATTAGGATACATTTTAGTGGAAATGAAGGACTTGACTGATAACTCCATTCTTACCAATAACCGTTACAGCGCTAAATGCAATATCCATTCCCAGGAAGCTTTGAGCGGAACAGACATAGTCCCCAGAGTCTTCAAGCTCAAGCTTGTAAATTTTTAGAGTACCAAGGCAGTCCATAACCATGCGATCATTAGAACTCAACATCTTGCCATCTTTTATCCAACCAATTTTTGGTTCTGGTACGCCAATTACTGGACACTTGATGGTCATTGGACTTCCTTGTAAAACAGCCACATCTGTTCCAATCGTAAAATTAAAATGTCTGCGGTCCTGCAGAGATTCTGCACTGCCATAAGATGACATTATATCAGGTGCCATCGGTTCTGTTAAGGAACGTAGAGAAGTTATTGAGATAACAAGAATATAGCCTGGAAACTAGATTTGATTTGAAAATGTTAGAGTGAAGAGTGACAAAGATAAAAACATATTCACTTGTAGCATAAACTGATTGAATTTGAATGATAAAAGTACATTCGTTTGTCACGTAAGCAATTAAAGTAACAGTGACTAGATCTGTAAAGTTTGTAAAGGTTAAAAACGTTTTTCTCTTGTGATCTCTGTCCCTCTTCAACTCTATACAACCAACCGCTTTTCTCAACGAGTGAATTCCGCCGCTGGTTCATTGTTAAGGACCAACGTCATGACGACCACGTTGAGATTTACTTAACAAATAGAGAAGCCTTGCCTGAAGCCTTGAACCATTCTAACAAGGATTCTAATTTGCTTTTAGTAGCGTGTTTTATGAGAGTATAGAGCACGCTGACGACACCGTTGTTCACTTTGGAAATAAAAATTTGTTTTCAGAAGATTGAAAATAAAACGTGTCGAATTTAACGGATTCTTTACCATAAAACAATTAGAAGAGCTTGGATTATGTTCTGTTCTTTTGTAAAGCACTAAGAGAGCGGCAAGGTAAATATCAAATTTGAAAGGTAAGTCATAATTTCACCTCAAAAGCTTTTCGTGGATAAAATTTTTTCTAGAATTTTGTTGCTTGTTCTTAAAGAGTCGTAAACACTGAAACATAGTACTAGTAAAAACCCTACCGTGAACTTTCAGTGTACTGGTGGCAGTTTTGACCCCCGCGAAGTTCCTTGCCACGCAGGTGTAGCGATCTGTGTCCATAGGATCGAGTCTGTACATGATCAACGTCTGACCAATCACAAGATAGTTTTTACCGCTCTTCATTTTTATCCCACCTCTGTACCAAGACACAGCCGGTTTTGGGACTCCGATGGCAGGGCAAGTCAGGGTTAATCTCCTTCCTTTCAAAGTTGTCAAATTGTCTCCAACTTTTGCTTTAAATGGTTGGCTCTCGTACCAAATGATGTAGGCGTTTGATTTTGTTATCCTAGGAGCCATGGGAGCTACAAGAAAAACAACTCTGTGTAAACCCTTGTCTTGTTGTCGCGAAATCAATGTTCTCTTATAACTGTCGTGGCTAGCATGATGACGAAGGTCATTTTTAACTTCCTTAGCAACTCTCAGTTAACTTGCTCAGTTGGTAAGCAATGCACCGGTATCGCAGAGGTCATGGATTGAGGCCATAGTTTAAGTAATGTTCATTACTGCGAAGATCGGTTTCGTATTTATTTTTATCATTACCATTATTATACTTTATTGGAAAAATTGGATGTAAATCGAAACAAAAGGAAGAGCTTCCAGGCCCAAGAATGCATGTAAGCACCTATATATAGCCGACCTTTATAGTTGTGGTGTACCGCAAAGCAACTAGCGTCACCTGAAATGCACTAAAATTGCGATAGGCTAACTTTGGGAATACAACTGTCAATAAAGAAGTTAATACAGCTCAATTAATTACCTCGAACATATATAGAAGAGGCCACAGAAGCCTCTCCGATAGTATTCCTTGCTAAGCATCTGTAGCGTCCGGTGTCATGTGTCCGAGTGTTCTTTATGGTTATTGTACCAACATCAGATATGGAAATTCTACCCTTGGATTCAACTAGTTGGCCATTCTTACTCCACGATACAGTCGGCTCGGGGGATCCTTCAGTGTGACATTTCAGAGTCAGGGATGTTGCTGTGAATATTTTCACAGTTACACCTACAAATCCCGTTACAGCTCTTCTCTTATTTAGCGCATCGATTGTTCTTGTACCAGATGTAATACGTGGACTCTCTGGTTCTGAAATGAATGTAAAGAAATAACAAATTCTTAGACCCTCCTACGACTACTCATCTACAAGTGCAGGCACAGATAGAGGACATAAAAACTACGGTCAAAAACTCATCTCACACTACAAGCAATTTCCGGCTGGTTCCCATAAAAAGAACAAAACATTTATTAGATTAGGTTCATGAGGCATACGGGCGAAAGTGCATTCGAAATTCATTATATAGATCCTCCTTTTCTCCCTACCTATCACGTTCATAATGGTACTTAACGCTGCTTTTCCTGCCATATTCTCGGCCTGACATGTGATCTTCCCAGCATCTCTCACATCCTGAATGCTCAACACCAAAAAGCTGCCTTCCTCAGTATCCAATTGTTCTCCATCTCTTAGCCACGTAATACTTGGTTTTGGTATACCGCTTACAACACACGTGATATTGACTCGAGACAGTGTTAGTACTGTAACGTCACTTCCTACAGTAACCTTCACAAGGGTGGCGTTGGTAAGAGGGATTTTGTCGCCTTCAGGTGGACGAATACTAGGCTCTCTTGGTTCTACAATTTGTGATTTGTTAAAAAGAACATGTGAGAACTTGTATCGCTAATTTAAACTATATCCTAGAGAAGGAAGATTTCATGTTTCTTTAAAAGGAATGTTTTCATAGAGGCCTAAGGTTAAGATGATCGGACAAAAAAATGCAACGCTGTGCTTTGATTTCAACTCAATCAACAAGTGGAGTCCTGACTTCCCCTTAGAGATTGCACATGAACATAGGGACACATTGCACTTTAAGGAAATTTCTTGAAACTTTCTTTTCTGCAATAAATTGTCACAACGCACTGAGCCATTTAAATCCAGAGGAAGCCGATATATCGATAGTATTGAGTAAAGAAAACAAAAACTACAATTGTCTATCAGGATATATTCCATGAGTCGGCAGCTTAAGGATTGTCTCAAAACACGTCTGGCAAAGAAACTAACCAATGACTGTGATTTTCGTAGACTCCTGATCGACACCAACTTCACTCATGGCAGTACAGAGATAATCTCCCGTATCTTCTGCAGTGGAATTTTCAATTCTGAGAATACCAGACTGTGTCGTAGGAATTAGCTTCTCTTCTCTGCTCCAAGCTACTGACGGAGTGGGCACCCCGTCAGCAGAGCAAGTGACTGTAATATTGGTGCCAAACAGAACGGTGACGACATTACCAGCGATAGCTTCTATGGGAAGACGATCAGATAAAGAAACGACACTGTCTTGGGACGAGCTTATCGATGGTGGTTGAGGATCTGAGTAAGGCAGCAACCAGTTAACATATTAGACAAATCATTTAGCAGGGACATAATCAAAATCGTGATTACAATAAAATTCAGACAGTTCTTAAGTAATTCTCAATACAAGAAAAAGGTAAAGTTGTTTACGTTCTCAATCGACGCCCCAAGTTAATGAAAGGATGAAAATTTATTCATCTGCTATATCTTGGAAAAAATATCAAGGAATGGAAATATATGGCACTGGTTAGAAACGTTCGAATTCGTCGTCAAGGATACTTTTCAATTCCCCCCTTCAATAAAAGCAGAGATGTCATGAAAGTTAACGGTGGGCAAAATACCTACCTCTAAGAAAAAATAACACTTACCAATGACTTTGAGGATTGTTGATGCGGATGCCGTTCCTGCTAGGTTTTCCACGGAGCAAACATACTGAGCTGAATCAGAGGGCTGTAACGCCATCAGTTCAAGTGAACCGTTAATGACCTTATATCCAACGTCTGGTAAAGGATCACCTTCTACATCCAGAACAATCCACTTGACAACTGCTTCGGGAAAAGCCGAGTATTTACAAGTTAAGGTCACTTCCGTTCCAGAGAGCACTTCAACTCTTCCGCCAACAGGAAGTATTCTGGGCTTTCTGTTATACCACGAAACAGAAGCGTCGGATGTTGCTATTTTTGGAAGAGAGGGTTCTGTAAAAAGAAACAGCAACTCAAGATTAGTCCTCTTCGTATCATCACCTAACAATATATTATAGATTTCACTTTCTAACAAAACTACACTGCATGTAGCAAAAAAAAGGGCTTAGATTCTCGAAAAAGTAATGATATTTCTTGAACCCTAAGACTAAAGCTTGACTGTACTTTACGTAGAAGGTCGGTTTTCCAACACCATTGTAACGTGAAGATCCGAGAAATGTTTTCACTCACCAATAACTTCTAACACAGCCGCGCGAGAATCCTCACCAGCTTTATTCACAGCATTGCACATGTAAGTCCCAGAGTCTCTCGGGTTAACATCATGAATCGTCAACAAACGGCCACCTTGATTCACATCAAATTTGTTGGCTGGTTGCATATCATTACTGCTGCTATTCCAATAGAAAGAAGGTTCAGGAATTCCCGTAGCCACGCACTGGATGTTCACGGTTGTCTTCATCAAAACCTTCACGGTTCCACCTACTGCCACTGTTACAGGTTGCCGATCAAACGACTCGATATCAATGGGATCACCTCTAATGGAAGGCCTCTTGGGTGCTAATAAATAGTAACGAAGGGTGATCAACCAAGTGTGAAAGTTAGAACATAGGATAGGGATTTAATGTCTGTCGTGCTCATTAGTGTTTCTTAAAAGAAAGTGAACGTTACGCAGAAAGCTTTGTCCACCAGGCCTTTGGGTAGAAGGCTTCATTCAATTTTAAAGATTTACGTCCTGTCTAGCATGAGACCTCGGGTACGACAACATGGCCCTTTTAAAAGTAAAGATGATTTTGTATTCGGTTGCCCGCCTGAGTCGCTTCCTCAGATCGCGCCTTATCACAAATGCACCAACATCAACGTTTAAAGTATTACTCTTGTGTCTGTTAGACAGGAAGGCGGGCCTGGTAGAAAAGTAGGACAAATTTTGGAATGTTTCCAAGATCTTAGAGAGGAAACGCGTTCATGTAAAATTTTAGTTTACTTGCGTACCCATAAAATTAACCTGAGATGCTATCTCATCTGATCCAGCACCGTTAGTAGCTCTGCATGAGTAGATCCCAGAGTCAGACCAGGTACCATCCAAAATTATGAGTGTACTGTTGACAATCCGTAACCTTTCGCTACTAGAGATCAAACCACCAGAAGTTTTCCACTGTATTTCAGGGAGAGGATTTCCTGTAGTTGGACAGCTTATGTACACTGTAGATCCCTCGAGAGTTTCCAAATCATCGCCGATAACAAGCTGGTGACTCACAGATTTAAAGTCCTTGAGGTCTTTACTTGAAGACATGATCTTTGGCTCCACGGGAACTAAGAAAAAAAAATAGTAGCTCGACTATTTATTATTATAACTAATATATAAATAAATTCGTCTTTTTTAAAAAAAACTATCCGATAAAATTACATATCTGATGTTACTGTAAAAATATATATTGATGGGAAAAATTACAACGATTAAATCGAATAAAAATGATTAAAAATGATTAGAAATACATATGTGGTGTTTACACAGCTAGACTACATTTAAAAATTAATCTATTAAAAAAGCTATGTTTAAAACGTTCAGTGTTAGTGCTGGGCCTGACAATGGATTTCCTTCGAATGTTTACAATATAGTCTTTGTACCTTGGGAGTAGGCTTTTTAATGGTGGTCATCATGTTTGAGATTATAAAAAAGGCGTCTGTCGCTTTTCTCCAAAAGTTCATATATGTTGTAATTGACCGACGTATAGCGCCTCTTATAGCATCTTTTTAAAAACCTTTGTATAACAGTAAGTTCGGAAACACTTGCAGCATAAACTGAAAGACCGTATAATAATTTAGGGATCACAATTGAATTAAAGAGGTGGTCTATTTCGTCTTGTGTATATCCTTCTTGACGTAGGCTTCTGATGACAAATAAACACTTTTTGGCTTCATGGAGCTTGGCCTTGACATGCATGCAGAACTTACAATTACCTTGAAATGTGACGCACAATAAAGAAATGTTATTATATTGTTTGATATTGTGAGACATTGGGTAGACTGTTGAATTGCCTTTCTTACGCATAACTAGCTCCTTACACTTACTAGTGTTACAATGCATGCCGTTTGCAACAGTCCAATCCATAAACTTGGACAAGGCAATGTCAGATATATCCGGGGAATCTNGTTATAAAAAAGGCGTCTGTCGCTTTTCTCCAAAAGTTCATATATGTTGTAATTGACCGACGTATAGCGCCTCTTATAGCATCTTTTTAAAAACCTTTGTATAACAGTAAGTTCGGAAACACTTGCAGCATAAACTGAAAGACCGTATAATAACTTAGGGATCACAATTGAATTAAAGAGGTGGTCTATTTCGTCTTGTGTATATCCTTCTTGACGTAGGCTTCTGATGACAAATAAACACTTCTTGGCTTCATGCAGCTTGGCCTTGACATGCATGCTGAACTTACAATTACCTTGAAATGTGACGCCCAATGAAGAAATGTTATTATATTGTTCGATATTGTGAGACATTGGGTAGACTGTTGAATTGCCTTTCTTACGCATAACTAGCTCCTTACACTTACTAGTGTTACAATGCATGCTGTTTGCAACAGTCCAATCCATAAACTTGGACAAGGCAATATATCCGGGGAATCTTTAGTGATCGTGACTAAGACGGTTGAATCGTCTGCATTCTTAAACAAGGATATATCTTTGTACCCATCTATCTCTAGATCATTCAAAAATATGTTGAAAAGATATGGGCCACTGACACTTCCCTGTAATGTTCCCTTGTTGACAATTCTCCACTGGCAAGTCAGATTATTGAAAATCACCCTCTGTTTTCTGCCTTCAAGAAAGTTGGCATACCAGTTAACAATGCACGAATCAAGTGGAATGCGTTTCAGCTTTTCAACTGGGAGATTGTGTTTAACGTTATCAAAGGCTTTTGAAAAATCCATCGTAAACGTTCTCACCGCTAAGGTGTCCCGTCTATCCAATGCCGCAGGAAATGTATGCTGCATTTTCAACAGAGCGTTTACACAACTTCCACTTGAACGGTACGCAAATTGAGAGTGATTTAGATGTTGCTCCAGGCTCCTCTTCTTAAAAATGTTATATACTGTTCTTTCAAACGTTCTGGCAATAACTGGAGTAACATTGATTCCTCTAAAGTCCGCGTATTCGTCTGGTGTCTCGACTTTTGGGAGTGGATTGATGTTAGCCTCCTTCCAACGGCTTGGCCAAATCTGCTGAGCAAGAGACATCTTCCATAAATTCTCAATCACTGGGGTAAATATCTCAGCATAATCTTTCCATATCCAGAAAGGAATTCCATCAGGTCCGGTGGCAGTACGCTTTATTCGTGATAAGGCAATAAACACTTGAAATGTAGATAGTTGTGGAGCAGGGGTGTTCGCATCAATCTCGGCAGGAACTGGTTCAGAATATTCTCTATCAAAGCAAATGTCACCGAAATAATAATTTAAACCAATGATGAGATCCTTGTCTGGTTCGCAGCTGCTCTTGTCTTTACGCATGGACAGTCGGTCAACTTTCCTCCACCAAGCTAGCGATGCAAGTTTCCCAGACGCTAAAGCTCGGCGATTTTCAGCTATTAGGTCTCTCCCGCCGCCTTTTCGACATCTTGTTTTTTTCTTCAAGAGCGATCTCACTAATTGACTCATCCACGGAGGGTCTCTGGAACACATTCGGATCGATTTGCTTGGAAAACATTCGTTTATTAATTTCTCTAAGGTGGAGTGCAGCGAGTTCACCGCTGTATCGATGTAAGAGTTATTATTAACATGATTCCAGTCTTGTTCAAGGAGCTTATGGTAAAACATGATTTTGCAATGCTCTCGGTAATCACGCATTGCGCTAATGAATCTCATGGGCTTTAGTCTCCGATCTCGAAACCGATTTCACTTTTACATTTTTCCTCACATAAATCGCTACGCCTCCTTTCTCTCGCTTGTCTTTGTCAAACCAGTTTCGATCCCTTCTGTGGATGGTATAATTGGATATAGCTACAACCGAGTCCGGCACGATCCTTTTTAAATGTGTTTCGGAAACAACGCAGATATCGATATCATTCTTAAAAAAGTCAGCTTCAAGTGCCAGATTAGCTTTAATTCCATTCCGTGTCTTAGTCAAGCTACAGATATTTAGAAACATGCATTTAGGGACCGCATATTTGTCTTCCGTAGTGGAATTAGTGCTAGAGCTCTTAATTTGAGAACGTTTAATTCTTGTTAAGTTGTTGTGATTGCATCCGCGGCATATCGACGGGTGCTTCTCGACTGGGCTTTTGGTAACCAAAACAGGAATAGCATGCCGTCTTGTCTTTCGTCCACCTCCAGGCTTTCCTCTGTAGGTAGATAATCCAGATCTTTTCAGGTCTTCAAAGATATGCATTTCAATGACAGACTTAGGATAATGGCTTAAACGGAAAAGCGTGTTCTTCGAGTAGTCGAAGCGCGACGCGGTTATTTGACAAGATGGCGGCGTCCCACTCAGTTCGTGGGAAGGCTTGTCAGTCGACAAAGTCTCATTATTCCAGGGACCAGGATTGATGGAAACATCCATGTCTATGGTAATATCGATCGTAGGATCAAAATATGGTGGTGAAAAACATGCATAACCGTGCTTCGACCAAGCAAGTTGTACACGCTGAATCCATCGGGGAATTTTAACCAGCCTGCGAGGACCGGAACGAAAGCGGTATCGTAAGAAGGCAACGGGAGCCAAGCTGAGTTCGCTGGAAGTGACTCCCGAAGTTCTTTCCTGATCATTCGAGCTATGTAAATCCCTACTTAAGAGTAAATGTGATAATAAAAGGATAAAAAAGCCTAGAGCTAAATTACATGTGGCAGGCATGACGGCGCCTGGTTACCGAGGTTCAGTCAATAAGGCTAAAGGTAAGCATTAAGAACAACACTAAGTAATTCTTAGGTAGTGTTTAGTCAGCTTACGACCCAATAGACACATTTTATTTCTGCCGGAGCTTATATCAAGGACACAACCTGGACCTCTCGATCCGGAATCAGGGTACTCACTTTTATGCCACTAGGTCTCCCGCAAACGATCATGAACCAGATAGTCCAACAATTGATCTGGCACTATGCATCTGGATTGGATTAAGTCAAAACTCTAAAAACTTTTTGACCTCTACAACTTCTAGGAAAATTTGATTTGTCTCCTCTAGGTCAAAATAATACAATTCAGTCGTACTGTTGTAAGTCAATGATAAATGATAGCTGACAGGGAACAAATTAGCAAAATTTGAAGTACTCACTGATCAGAGACAACAGTGTAGTCTTGGTGTCTTTTCCAAAGGTGTTATTGGCATGACACGTGTAACAACCAATGTCCTCCGATGAAACACCAAAAAGACTCAAAACCGTTTTCTCGACCTTTATGAAGCGAGGATTTGCCTCTTTGATCGCCGAGCCATTGAACAACCACGTGATTGTTGGATTAGGCAACGCCATGACTGGACATAAGATCTCTATGTCTATTCCGATTACAGTCGTTACGTTACCACCAATCGTTATCTTTAGTTGCTTTTCACCGCTTACTGCTACAATGTTTTCCTCTGAGCTTGTGATTTTAGGTGCATTGCCATCTAGTCAAAGAATAAAACAGTAGCATTAAAGAAATGTATCAAAAAGTAGTGAGAAACTGCAGCCAGTCTTAGAAGATATTTTTGTACGCCAGGAATTGCATCATGGTTTAATCAAGCTGTTTCATACTTTCTTTTAAGTGAGATTGGTTTTACTCATTCTACTCGCCAACTTTTCAATCCTGGAACAATTACAACAGGTACATTTATTAAGAAGCATATGAAGAGCAGAAGTATACACCAGTAAACACAAAGATAACATGAAGAAATCAGTCGTTTAACCAGATAATTAATTAAGTTTCCAACTTATAAACTAAATATGTATTCTTCTAGTAAGCGAACATCAGCATTGCTAAAAGTCATTCACAGCTGCATCTGAATGATCTAAAGTCGGTGGTCTTTGTTTTCACGGACGAGTAGGGAGTAGGACATAATGTACTGTATTCGACTCGAAGGACAACGTGACATCTCTACCAAAAATTATTCGTGGAAATTAGAGTATGCCAGTGTGGTTGGTCCCTCAGCCGAGCCAGGGGCCAGGGTAAAGGCAAAGAAAAGTATTTACCTAGGACAATAATCTGTATGTCTTCTTTATCAGCTCCATCTATGTTGGAGGCAACGCATTGATATGATCCGAAATCCAAAGCAGTGAGTGACTGTAGTGTGTACAATGAGCCTTCAACATTTAATGGAATGCTGTTCTTACTCCAAATAATTTGGGGGATGGGCACACCTGTAGCGTTACACCTTAAGAATAACCCGTTACCAGCCACTGTCGTCACAGTTGAACCAACATCTACCGTAAATGAACCACTGTTAAGGATCCGTAAGGGCTGGCTAAATCTTGAGATCACTGGCGAGGAGGTTCCTGAAAGTATTGAATTCATGAAATCATTAGCAATATCGGGACCTACTCCAAAGGAATAAACCTGTGTTTTTGACTAGGAGCCAGCTTTTTTGCTAATTGTAAAAATCCACACATTCAGTAAGTCGTTACCTTATGAAGTTCAAGGATCTTTCAAAAATGAGTTTTATGAACAGATGCTATCTTACTATCGGTAGCAAAGGAACACAATGCAAAAGAAAATTTATGATAAATGGCAAACAACATTTATTTGAAACAAATATAGAACATAGTGAAAAATTTGAAAAAATACCTCATTCTGCAGAAGTGAATCAGAGGAGCAAGAAATCATTTTGATTGGCAAGCGGGCGGTACGATCATGATTGAACTTTAAGAATGACTTACCAAGCACAGTCACATTGGAGTTTGCTGTAACATCTCCAGCAAGGTTGACCGCTTTGCAAAGGTAAATCCCAGTATCAGCATTTGTCACACGTGGGATACTTAGTATCAAGTCCTTGACAATGACTCGGCCACTCGTGTATAAGTTTTTATCTTGTCGACTCCAGGTAACGATTGGCTCAGGTATACCACTAACAGGGCATTTAATGGACACATTTGTTCCACTCAGGACATACAGTGTTTGACCAATGGTGATAAAAGCAGGATCTCGACTGTCCAGAGATTGTACCGTCACACGTGAAACATTAATCTGGGGAGCTCCAGGAACTTAATTGTATCAGAAAAAAGAAGCACTAGTTAGTGCTATCAGCCAAATTTGAAGAATCTCACTTGGGGCAGGAAACCTATTTAAATAGGTTAATTCGATATTTGGTAAAGGAAAGATTCATTCAAATCACCTCGAGAAGAAACAAATTTTAAAATAGTCTTGTTATGATTCAATGTGAGCAAGATCTGATCTTGATTTAAAAAAAGACACATTTAACAGGAGTCAGTTTTACAATCATGAATAAAATCAGTTTATCGCTAAGGGACACTCAAGTAACAAATGATGCACTCATACCAAGAACAGCAATGAAAGACGAAGCGTACACGGATCCTAATGCATTGCTGGCTTTGCAAGAGAATCTTCCTCCCTTCCGATGTGATATACTGAGTGTGAATAGTGTTCCTGTATCTTCGTCCACATAAAGCATCATTCCAGGTTCTACAGGGACACCTTCTCTGTACCACTGAATGGAAGGCTTCGGAAATCCACTTGCAGGACAACTGATTTCCAGACCTGAGCTCGCCAGGGTAGTAAGGTTAGTTCCAATTGTTATGGCGAAGAAATCGATTCTTAGGTGGACCAGACTTCTATTCAAGGACTCAATTGAAGGAGCCTTTCCGGCTATGAGGATAGTGGAAACAATCACTTACTACGTGATGCAGGCATTCGCCCGTTCCAATGAAATTGATTAAACTCATTGACTGTGGTACATTGCAAAGGCACGTTCATAAGCTATGCCATTTTAAGGTCGTTTGGACCCCTTTTATGAGGGCTACAATACAGAACGTTTCGCGTTACACTTTGTTCTTCAGCAAGAAACTGTCACCTTAAAATCAATTAAATACGAATTTAAAATTGAACATAAATTTGATAAATTGAAACTATATACGGGCTTTTGAGAATTCATTCACGTAGTACCGTTAATATAATGTTTTTTTTTTTCTGGGATGAAAGACTAGAACGAAGAAGACGGTGTTTTAAGTCACCAGTATTGTGACCAAAAGGACGTTTCAAACTGTTCAGCTGCCGTTTAAACTACGTACCAAGTACTTGAAGTTGTGTCGTCGCTTTAACTTTACCACCAATATTTTTGGCAACACAGGTGTATCGTCCACTATCCTTCGGAGTAGCGCTCTCTATTGTGTAAAATGCTCCCCCTTTTCGAACCTCAACTTCGTCTATTTCCCACGTAATTTCTGGACCTGGAGCTCCGGTAACCACGCAGAGGATACTCACGTTATTTTTTTCCAGCGTAGTTACCTTACCTCCAATGGTGACGGACACGTTTGTGATCTTTAGCAACTCAACGTTGGCATTGTTCGTTATTATTTTGGGAACTTGAAGACCTAAAATAATTCAATGAGAAAGATCCCTTAGGGTTGCTGGGTCTGAAGTCCATAACAGGGACTTAAATTTCTGAAAGAGATGATTTCCTTTCTTTTGCTGCCGAAATGATTAGAGAAAAATTAGTTAAGAGCTACTGAGGCTGTAATTAGAAACTTTGAAAAACCTTAAGTTACGGGTTAAGTCACTAAAATAAATTAATATGAAAAGATTGAAAAAAGAAACACATTTTTCGTTCTTTAAATAAGGGTTGAACAAAGCATTAAGTACCGAGCATCCGAAATAATATTAGCAAAAAAAGACCAGGATGAACAGAACCATGAACTCACAACAATTCAACAACTCACAACAACATCTTTGGTCAACTACTGTAAAAAAAGGTACTTCATCTTCTTCCTTGAACAGTTTCCATAGTTACCTTGTAGAGTGTATAAATACCTACCTATCACCGTTAAGTTTGTACTCTGTGAGTCGACCTGTCCTATGGGACTTGTAGCCGTGCATGTATAAACACCAGTGTCGCCAACTTCTACAGATAAAAGGCGTAAGACCGATCCATATGCTCCTAGCACAGCCCCATCTTTCGTCCATCCAATGGAAGGAGTTGGGAAGCCCGTCACGTCACATGTTAGTGACAAATTGTTACCACTAATTGTGAGAATTGTGCTTCCAACAACTGCCTTTTCTGATTTAGGCTCAAGAAAATGTAGATCTTTAATACCTGTTCGAATTATTTCTGGCGGTGTAGGAACTAAAAACAAAAATAGGGATTAAAAAAATCGAAAGGCATCAACCTCAATTTCACTGGACATTAAGCACTAAGTCCGAGCTTGCCGAAAATGTTAGGAAAACTGTTTCTTTTGTTGTAAATTGACGCACACGATTCGAAGTAAGAAAACGAAACCTTCCACAACCTTTAAAAAAGGGCTATAATGAGCAGCTGCTATCAATGAATCTGGACGTTCAAACTAATCAATGCTTGTTTCATTGGAAGACTAGCATTCTTTTTGCCTTTGGGTGTGAACAGTCTCCTCACAAGAATTTTGGCCTAACCTACAACTGTCACGATTGAAGATTCTGAAGCTATTCCTGCAGGATTTTCTGCAGAGCAGGTATACTTTCCGCTGTCAGAAGTCTCTAGTTCTACGATGAGAAGAGTACCGTTTTTAACATTCATTCGCCCGTCAGAGGGGAGTGACTGATTTCCTCTGGCCCAGGTTACCTTTGGTATAGGAATACCTCTTACGGCACAATGAATGGATAACTCGGTATCGACTAGCGTGACCAGAAGTTGTCCAATAGTAATGTTGACGGGTTTTTCACTGAACCAGGCTACATCCCCAAAAGAAGATGTTATTTGAGGGCTCACTGACTCTGAAATAGAAACAGACATCGTTATTCAAACACCTCCATTTTATAAAATTTATCAAAAATTTATAGTACAACAAACTAAAGGTATCTTCAAATTAGAGAAAACCCACATTTCACAACTCAAAACTACGTAAATCAACAGCTGACAAGTTTGCACAAAAGTCAAGTGCCCCGCACAAGCCGAAGCACGTCATGGCCTGGTTTCCTAAGCATTCAGACTAGACGTATGGCTATTCTCCCCTGCATGGAATGCATGTCCATCGCCGGTTACTTCAAACACGTCGTAAAGTTTCTCTAGCAGTTAGTTGGAAGGAGAGAGGAACCATGAGAATCATAGGTCTTTTGTTTGAACTTAACACAGGGACCTAGATCATACACATCTTAAAGCGGGTTCCAGCGCGCTAGGCATTAGGCCATCCCGTCTCGCAAATGTCTAACCCAGATGTAAAATTTTGGTTCCATAAATACTATATTAAGCGACCACTCAGTAATGGCACAAAGTATGCAGCCTTCATTACCAATTAAAGTAACTGTAGAAGATAACTCGTGCGTTCCAAAGAAATTTTGGACACGACAAGTGTACTTGGCGATATCAGCCACGATTGCTCCTCTGATAACCAACGAGTAGTTAGAGGGCATAAATGTAAATCTGCCGCCTTCTACGATCAGAACTCCATCTTTCTCCCAGGTAACAGCTGGTGTTGGTATTCCACTGACTGGACACCTGATGGTAATGGTTGTGTTTAAAGCTGCAGTCACGTTATCACTAACGTTTATGATCACTGGACTGCCATCGCCAACAGGTATCTCCTGAGAAGTCTTGTTGATTTCAATCACAGGCTTTCTAGGATCTGCATAAAAAATGATACCATGCACTGTGAAAAAAGTAGTGGGAACCAAAGTAAAAAAAATTGCTTCGAGGTTTTCTCGTAACGCTTAATTGATTTAGATACGGCCGGCTGGTTCGCTGACATGCAGTGATAATGGTTTACTCGTGCTCCAATCACTATCTATTTGAACCAAACATTTCAAGGAAAAACTCGACAATTTAAAGTTTTCGGGCCTTAAAAAGACAAATAAAGCATTAACCTAAAGTAAAATATAAGTACAAAAAGCACAAGGTTGATACAGTTATAACCTATTCTCAACGCTATGTGGGCTAAAAACGATACTAGATACTTTACCTACAATCCGGACCGTGCTTGATGCGCTTTCTGTACCAGCAGTACTATCTGCAGTGCACGTATATCGAGAGGAGTTCTCGTGGCCAGTACCAGTGATCACCAATGACCCATCATCCTTAACTGTGTATCTGCCTTTGCTGTATAGAGCCTTACCATCTTTACTCCACGTGACAGTTGGCGCTGGAACGCCACTGGCACGACACTGAATGGTGATGTTCGTACTGGTAAGTGCTGTCACGTTATCACCGATGACTATGGTTATAGGTTTTCGGTCTTGAGTTTCTATCGTCTTTGGCGTCAAAGGAGTCATTATTTTGGGCTTGGAGGGTCCTACGGAAGACATTTTAGAAGGCACACAAAGTAGTCACAAATCACAAAACCACTATACAACGCTCGTGCTACTTGTCGGTATTGTAATCAATGAGACAATTTTTGGTTTGAAGATTCCTCTATTATGTAAATCACGGTCATTTGAATAAGAAAGAAGAGAAAATAATTTTAATTTTTTTCATTTGTGGAGCCATCGTCACCGAAGAAAAGATGTGATAGGATGGACACCATACTCAAATCGCACTATTTAAGGAAGGGATTCAGCTAGCCAAAGAAGAAATAAAACGGCGGTCTACATGAAAACAAATCAACATTTCCGTTCACCTCACTTTTGTCTTCTACATCCCTCGCGTGAAATAATTTTGAAAGCTCTCTACCATTCATGACAATCACTAACCCAATATTCTGATGATGGAGGATAAGCTCTTTTCTCCGAAACCGTTTTTAACGTTGCAAATGTATTTTCCACCAAATCTTCCTTTAGCCTCTCTGATGATCAATAAGTTCTCATTGACGATAACAATCTTCTCTCCAGATGTCACTGTGAGTCCGTCTTTCTCCCAGGTAACAGCTGGTGTAGGTACACCACTAACTGGACATCTAATGGTGATGGTGGTGTTTGAAGCTGCTGTCACGTTATCACCAATATTCATAGTCACTGGACTGCCATCACCAACAGTAATCTCTTTCCCGGTTCCTGAGACTTCTATGATTGGTTTTCTTAGCTCTAAGGAAGAAAAGAACAAAACGCAATTAAAATGAGCCTTCTTTGGTTTTAGAGCGTCATTATCAGATACTAGTGGATAAGCTGGGAAAAACTGAAGACCATTTATAGCCACAAGAGAGTACATATAGGGGGAGAAGGCGGAAAAATCAGGGTGTTGATCAGGATTTGTCTATTTTTCTGCAGTTCCTATAGTGGTTTCTATGTCATTACACATAGCGACCATCTTTTCCAAAATCATTTGAATCGAACAAACTGCTCTTTGCCAACATATCAATCTAGCTCACAGGCGACCTGGTCTCACCGTTCAAAGCAATATGCCGAACAGAAAGTAGAAAGTGACATGTGTAGGTAAACAACAGACGTCTAAGAAAACATACTTCTTCTCGAGAAACTATCCGTAGGTAACACTAGAGAAATTAAAAGATCCTAAGGCATGGACTTGGGGTTTCCCCCTTTGCCCCTTTATTTTCTCTTGATGGCCGCAAATCAACACTAACTCAATCTTTACCACTTTCCATTGAAAAAAAAATTGTTCTGTCAATGCCAAATCGCATAGCCACCTGTAACTTCCTCAGTTTAGTTTTGCTTCATTTCATAACGTAAGATACAGCTCAGCTACAATACATAATAAACCTGAAAACTGATTTTAAACCAAGTTTGCTCACCAACAACCTGCACCGTGCTTGATGCACTTTCTTTACCAGCAACACTCTCTGCAGTGCACGTGTATCGAGCAGAATCCTCTATCTTGCTTCCAATGATTAAAAGCAACGAGCCGTTGACCTGAACCGTATGTCTGTCCCCATTGGAAAGTTTCTTCTTGTCTTTTGACCACGTGACTAACGGTATCGGTGCGCCACTGGCCTGACATTTTATAGTAATGTTTGTACTGGCAAGTGCTGTCACATTATCCCCAATAGTTAAGGTAACTGAACTAAAGTCTTGAGCTTCTATCGTTGTCGGCTCATTAGGAATATTTATAGTTGGCTTGGACTGTTCTAAAAGGAAAAATCGTTGATATTCAGTGAGACATCCGGTAAAAAAACACAACACCTCGAGAACAATTTATAGACGTTTCTTTAGACACGTTCATTTCATTGCTGGCGGAACACAACATCTGCCAAGAAGTTACAAGTAAGCCAAATCTTTCTCTCCATCTTAAAGAGAATGGACTTGAATTAAATTTTTGATCTCACAGTTGAAATATAAGAGAAAAAAACAATTTGAAAACACCCAGAACTGACGATTTCCGAAAAGACATCTTATTCATCCAGTTTGATAAAGAACACCACTATTTACTACAACGTACCTATAATCTGCAAAATAGAGGAGGTACTGTCTTTTCCGAACTCACTCTGAACAATACATGTGTACTTTGAGCTGTCTTGAGATATCGCTCCTTTAATGTCCAGAGTGTTGTCATTAGCAATCGAAAATCTGCCTCCTTCGGTGATTAGCATACCATCCCTCTGCCAAACAACAGTGGGCTTTGGTACTCCTCTGACTGGACACCTGATGGTGATGGTAGTGTTTGAAGCTGCTGTCACGTTATCACCAACGTTCATAGTCACTGGACTGCCATCACCCATTGGAATGTCTCGTCCGACGTCATGAACATTGATTACGGGTTTGGTTGGTTCTGAACGTATCCAAAAAAACTGGTGGTAAGTAACTAACGGATTCGCTTACGAGTACAGTACGTTAGGATATTATTTTGCCAGTTGCACCTTTTCTATGAAACTTTACGTAATATAATGATTATTTTACCAACCGATTAGTAACTTTAGATAAATTTAAGAAATGATAACCTCTCCTAAGCTTGTAACTCTTACAAGCTTACACTTACCAATAATCTGCAGAGTGCTTGAGGCGCTGTCTTTACCAGCAACACTTTCTGCTATACAGTTGTACCGTGCAATGTATTTCTTTGACGTTTTAGTGATTAGCAGCGACCCATCACCCTGAATTTTGTACCTCTCTCCACCGGAAATACTGTAACTATCTTTAGTCCACGTGACAGTTGGTGTTGGTACACCACTAGCGTTACACTGAATGGTGATATTTGTGTTGGTAAGTGCGGTTACGTTATCACCAATAATTATCATGAGAGGGTTTCTATCTTGAGATTCTGCTGTCGTCGGTTCATCAGAAATTTTAATTTTCGGCTTAGAATGACCTAGAAGAAAATTTCTCAATTATAAAGGTGATAGATTGATTGTTGCACAGTTATTTTGGAACAACAGACAACCTACCAGTCCTTTATGATAGCATCAAACATCATCAGCGAGAGAAAATATATATGACTACATGTTTTAGTCCTCTGTATTTCGTATCACTCGGGTTAAATTGTCACGAATATTAGTTCCTCTTCAAGTATACTGCAGATTAAAGACTGTTATTTTTATAACATCTGAAAACTGTTTACACAAGATGAACAGGCATCAGAATTTTAAAAAAATCGTAAGTATTCAAAATTAATAACTCGACACCCACCTACAATTGTCACCTCTGAAGACAATTTATCCATTCCAGCTAAACTTAAAACTCTACAAGTGTATTTTCCGCTTTCTCCTACTTCTGCTCCTCTAAGAACCAGTGAGTTTCCCTTCTGCACAGATATATCTTCTTCGCTAAAAATTAAGACTCCATTTTTCTCCCACGTAACAGTTGGTGTTGGTATTCCACTAACTGGACACCTGATGGTGATTGTTGTATTTGAAGCCGCTGTTACGTTATCGCCAACGTTTATCACCACAGGGCTGCCATCACCCATTGGAATCTCTCGTCTAGTTTCAGGGACGTCGAATACCGGCTTGGTTGGCACTGTTTTGATAAAACTTTTTGGTATAACATTCTCAGACGTATTGATCTAATGTCTAACACCCTTGAGCGGAGTGACCCAGACAGGCATCGCATCTAGGGACACGGAAACCTCGATAGCCTCTTATGATCTGCACAGTGCCAGGGTCTCCCCTTCCTTTTACCAAAGCGGGGCAAGCGTGTGCTGAGTGGGAGTCGCGCGATTAAGTCCCATAAAGAGCACAAGCTCTACCCTTGAAATAACTAAAGAATACGATGTAACATAAGGCTAAACGTGTCGGGTTTAAGGAGCTTGCGTGAATATGTTAATTTCAGCTTTTGTACTCTCCAAAACATTACAAAAAGCATCGGAAGAGTTCGAAAATGCTACTTTACGGGATTTTTTGTCCAGCTTCCTGGAACTCTTAAACAGTTCTTAACATTACCTACCAAAAATCCCCACCATGCTTGACGCGCTGTCTTGACCTGATGTGCTGTTTGCAGTGCACGTGTATCGATTAGCGCTTTCTTCAACACCCTGAATGATCAGCAATGAGCCTTCATCCAAAACTTTGTAGTGTTGGTCACTAAAAGTTGTCTGCCCATCTTTTGTCCACGTTATGGCTGGTGTTGGTACACCGCTTGCGTCACAGTGAATTAAGATCCTTGTATTGGTAAGAGCTGTCACGTTATCACCAATGTTTACAGTGATGGGATTTCGATTTTTAGCGTCTACAGATTTTGGGTCACCACGAATATTAATTTGCGGCTTGATAGGCTCTGAGAAGTGAAGAGTTAATAGCACCATCAAGTGACAATAATTCTATTCAAAGGCAGCATTCATAAAATTTAAACAGTAATTTACATAATACTTTAATTAAGAGAAAAGAAAATACCCTGTCCCCTGCCGACTTACCTAATATTCTTATAGAGGAATAGCGTTCGTCTGTCCCAAATTCACTTTTTACCCTACATGTGTACTTGGCGCTATCGTCTACTGTTGGTTCTTTAATAACCAGACTGTTATCACTTGTCATCAAAAGTTTATCTTCTAAAGAAACTTCCAATCCATTCTTCTCCCACGTAACAGTTGGCGTTGGTATTCCACTAACTGGACACCTGATGGTGATGGTTGTGCTTGAAGCTGCTGTCACGTTATCCCCAACGTTCATCGTCACTGGGCTGCCATCACCGACAGGAATCACTTGTCCAGTCTCGGGAACTGTAACTGTGGGCTTGACTGGTTCTGTGAAGTGTAAAGATAATCCAATAGGTTTTTCGTTAATTTCAAAGTTAAAAATACATGTGGAACGCGTTTCCAACACAGAAGACTGAGTATTAGAGAAATGTAAGAAAAACTAGTAAATGTGACACATTTCTGCGACCTACTAACAACTTCCATCGTGCTTGATGCACTGTCTTGGCCGGCAACATTGGTAGCAGTGCACGTGTACCGGGAGATATCCACCTCTTCAGCCACTTTGATAAATAGTGAACCATCCTCCTTTACTGTGTATCCTCCATCTTCACTCTTGATTTCCTGATTATCTTTTGACCAAGTGAGGGTTGGTGTTGGAGCACCACTAGCGTGACACTGAATGACAATACTTGTGTTGGCAAGCGCTGTCACGTTATTACCAACGCTAAAAGTGACGGGATTTCTGTCGTGACTTTCTATAGTTTTCGGTTTTGCTGGAACGTCTACCTTTGGTTCGGAAAGACCTGAAAAATGGGACAATGTTTTTCATTGAATGAAAGAGGCAGTAAGAAAAGAGTAACACATGATTGATTTAGGGGAAAAAAAAAAGACAGCGAGAGCAACCCATTCTCCACCCTCTTCAACTCAACATAATAATAATAATAATAATAATTTAATATTTATATTGCGCAAATTAACATGTCGATATGATCAAATGCGCATCACAACACTGTTCGGGGGACTTTGGCCAGACTGCATCAGCAGTTTACAAACAATCGAAGGAATCTTATATATCTAATCAATAGATGCAGGAGACGGGACCTACGGTTTATTCGTCCTTATCCGAAAAGACTAGAATGTCTATCCATTTCTTATTAAAGAAAGGTAGCGCATTCTCCTCAGTTATTTTAAGACCTTGAGTGTTGGTCCGGCCGGGGCTCGAACCATCGACCTCGACCTCCCGCACAACAGTCCAGCGCTCTAACCAATTGAGCTAACCGGGAGGCCCTTCCTTCAACAAGGACAAGGGTCTTAATCACTTAAGCATCCTCTGAACTAGTGCAAATTCCAACCTGATCAGTAGTTTGGCGTTTTTTCAACATGTACTATTTCCATACGCACCTACAATCTGCACTGTACTTGATGCACTGTCTTTACCGATTACACTAGCTGCGCTACACGTGTATCGGGCCCTGCCTGTGTCTTTAGTGTTCTTGATCAGCAGAGAGTTATCGGTTCCAATTGTATGTATGTCCCCATTGAAGATTTTCTGCCCGTCTTTTGTCCACGTAACAGACGGTGTTGGTATACCACTGGCGTGACACTGAATTGTAATGTTAGTATTGGTAAGTGCTGTCACATTATCACCAATCCTGATAGTAATTGGCTTTTGGTCCTGAAGTTCCACTGTTTTTGGTTTTGGAGGAATCTTTACTTTTGGTTTAGAGGGGCCTATACAAGGAGATAGATAGGGTTTGGATAAGTAAAATACTCGCTCTGAGATATAAAATCTGCACCACAAGCTTAAAATTCCAATACGAAGATACGAACTCCACTCAAAAAGTGTATTAGCCCAGTACTAATCTCTGACAATCGATTTAAATAAAGGAAAGCTCATTTCACATTCAATAATAATAATAATAATAATAATAATAACACCTTTATTTGGACACGATAATTTTTAAAGCTGAACAGCTTGTGGGGTCGTGTGTAAATCCTAATAAGCTCTAAATTAAATAAATTGAAATGATGATGGTTTTGGAGGAGAGGGGAAAACCGGAGTACCCGGAGAAAAATCTCTCGGAGCAGAGTAGAGAACCAACAAACTCAATCCACTTATGACGCCGGGTACGGGAATCGAACCCGGGACACATTGGTGGAAGGCGAGCGCTCCCACCACTACGCCAACCCAATATGACAAGATTGTTTCCGGTCAAGAATATTTTACCTGTGCCTATTTACGACCAGTTTGAGGATATAGAATGGGATAGCAATTATTCATCCTTTCAAGCCCATAACTACAGTACGCACCTATTATGGAGATTTCAGATGAAGAACTTTCCATTCCGGCAACATTTACCGCTCTACAAGTGTATCGTCCATTGTCGTCCGAGTCTGGTCTCGTTATTACTAGGGATTTGTCATCTGTGGTGAAAACATCCCGACCCTCAATAATAGGAGCTCCTTCTTTCAACCAGGTTACAGTTGGAGTTGGTACTCCACTAACTGGACACCTGATAGTGATGGTTGTGTTTGATGCGGCTGTCAAGTTGTCACCGACGTTCATGGTTACTGGACTACCATCACGAATTGGAATGTTTTGCCCATCTTCAGAGACTTCGATTATTGGATTTAATGGTTCTGTGGGTGGTTCACATTTTATTTTTAAAAAGATTGAATATTCTGTCTTAAAACTAATGTAAAGTAATATCAACAAAATTATTGTTTTTATTCAAAAACGAAAGGGAGCATAAGAAATAATCCGTTAGCGTACGTAGATGCGAATTTTAACAAGCTCTAAGTCACTCACCAACAATAAGAATCGTGCTTGATGCGCTGACTTCACCAGTTATACTTTTTGCAGTGCAGGTGTATCGGGCGGTGCCTACTTTGTGAAGCTCACGAATTAGTAACGAGTTATCAGCCTGAACCAAGTACATTTCGCTACTTGTGATTCTGAGACCGTCTTTTGTCCAAGTGACTGTTGGCGCTGGTACACCGTTTGCGTGACAATTAATGGTAATGCTTGTGTTGGTAAGTGCTGTCACGTTATAACCAATCTCCAAAAGTATGGGGCTTCTGTCCTTTGCTTCAACCATCTTTGGCTCACTTGGAATCCTAATGGCAGGCTGTGAACGTTCTACGAAATAATATGTGTATTGTTACTCCAAACTGCACAAAAATGTGGAAGAGTATGGAGTAAAACAACGTAGTCAGTAGATCAGCGAATTTACTTCTCAAGGCATAGACCTCTGAGCAATACTTAATTGGCTAGATTCACAATCTGAAATATCAGACCTATAGAAGATTAAGTAACCTTCCTCTTGAGTTCCAGCTCTCTACGAGCACTCAACTGAATTAACTCTAGATTTAAGTTAGTTGCTATACTTATAATTTCATTTTACTCATTATGGCGTAGCGATCGGTATACAAATTTCTTACAAGTATGAGATTCGAATCGAGGGAGGACGAAAAAATCTTTCTCAAAGAGATAATGAATCTCGTTATGCTCCAGTGGTTAAAACACTTCTAAAAGACAATTTTCATTTATATATAAACAGCATGAAAGTAATGTGATAAATGTCTTATATGCACAATTTATCACCTGTGAAGAGAGCAACAAGATTTAGTGGGTGAACAAAAAGTTTTTTTCACATTACAAGTTGTGAGCTGCAAAGAATAGGTATATAGCACTATTAATGATCTGAGACGAGACTTCGGAAAACTTGTTCCTTCGTTTTACAAGATTCTGGTCCTCGTTCAGAAAAATACGTAAAGGGCACTTCTTCTAAAAATTTTTTTTTAATTTTCTATGTAATCATTTACCTATTATCCGAACAATTGAAGAAGTTTCATCCGTGCCAAACTCGCTTTCTGCGATACATGTATATTTGGCAATGTGCTCGGCTTCTAAGCCTTTAAGGACCAAACGGTAATCGCTCGTGATGGGAAACGTCTCTCCTTCGACAATTGGTACGTCATCCTTGAGCCAAGTGACAATTGGTGCTGGTACTCCACTAATTGGACACCGGATGGTGATGGTTGTGTTTGAGGCTGCCGTCACGTTATCACCAACGTTCATCACAACTGGGCTGCCATCCCCGACAGGAATCACTTGTCCGGTTTCAGGAACTATAATCAGAGGTTTGACAGGTTCTGTGTGGTAAAAAGAATATCGAATAGGTTCAGTGTTACAAATAGTACGCGTTCGAAGCACAGAAGACCGAGTATTTTGCTTTAAAAGGCAATGTAAGTAAAACTAGTAAATGTGACACATTTCTGCAACTTACCAACAACTTCCACCGTGCTTGATGCACTGTCTTGGCCAGCAGCGTTGATCGCAGTGCACGTGTACCAAGCAGTATCAACCTTTCTGACTACTTTGATCAATAATGAACCATCTTCCTGTTGTACTTGGTTTCCATCCTCACTCTTGATTTTCTGATTATCTTTTGACCAAGTGATAGTTGGTGTTGGGACACCATTAGCATGACATTGAATGGCAATTCTTGTGTTGGTAAGCGCTGTCACGTTATTGCCAACGGAAAAAGTGATAGGATTTCTGTCGTGGGGTTCTATAGCTTGTGGTTTTGCAGGAACGACAACTTTTGGTTTGGAAAGACCTAACAATTGACAATGTTTTTCATTGAGTGCAAGAGGCAATAGCAAAAGAGCAACATATAAGTGGTTTCTATTTTACTCTATTCCTCTACTTGCATTGCATTTGTAACTCACCTACAATTTGCACCAAGCTCGATGCACTGTCTTTGCCAATTATACTAACTGCGGTGCACGTGTATCGGGCCATTCCTGTGTCTTTAGTATTCTTGATCAGCAGTGAATTGTCAGTTCCAAGTGTATATATGTACCCATTGAAGATCTTCTGCCCGTTGTTTGTCCACGTAACAGTTGGTGTTGGTACACCACTGGTGTGACACTGAATTGTTATGCTAGTATTGATAAGTGCTGTCACATTATCACCAATTCTGATAGTAACTGGCTTTTGGTCCTGAAGTTCGACCGTTGTTGGTTTTGCAGGGATCCTTACTTTTGGTTTAGCGGGGCCTGTACAAGAAGACAGATATGGTTTGGATAAGGAAAAGCTCGCTATGAAAAAGTGTCTTCATATCTGCTCCACAGAACCTAGAAATCCAATACGAAGATACGAGCTTCATAAACTTTACCCAAAGAAAAGGTTGCGGCCTAAAACTAAGTTCTGACAATCAAATTAAAACAGAGAAAGGTTTCCTTCTCATTTAAATTTGCTTCCGAATGGAATCCAGTGTGATAGCAACACTCTACCCTTTCAAGCCCAGAACAACAGCACGCACCTATAATAATGATTTCAGAGGAAGAGTTATCTACTCCGGCAACATTTGAGGCTGCGCAAGAGTATCTTCCATTGTCGTCCGAGTCTGCTCTTGTTATTACTAGAGATTTGCCAGCTGTGGTGAAAACATCCCTTCCTTCAATAACAGGAGCTCCTTCTTTCAACCAGGTTACAATTGGTGTTGGTACTCCACTTACTGGACACCTAATGGTAATGGTAGTGTTTGATACTGCTGACAAGTTGTCACCAATGTTCATGGTTACTGGACTGCCATCACCAATTGGAATGTTTTGCCCATCTTCAGAGACTTCAATTATCGGTTTGGATGGTTCTGTGGATGGTACATTTTTTATTTTAAAAAAGAGAAGTTGTTCTTATTGCATAATGAGACGAAATATCAATAAAACTATTGGTTTCACTTTGTATCATTTCTGTACGTGGACGCGAATTTTACCTAAGTCACTTACCAGCTATGAGTATCGCGCTTGATATGTTGACTTCACCAGTTATACTTTTTGCACTACAGGTGTATCGAGTAGTGCCTACTTCGTATAGCTTACGAATTAGTAACGAGTCATCAGCCTGAACCATGTACATTTCGTTACTTGGTATTCTGAGACCATCTTTTGTCCAAGTGACTGTTGGTGTTGGTACACCACTTGCGTGACAATTAATGGTAATACTTGTGTTGGTAAGTGCTGTCACGTTATTACCAATCTCCAAAACGATAGGGCTTCTATCCTTCGCCTCAACCATCTTTAGCTCGCTTGCAATCCTAATGACAGGCTTTGAAGGTTCTACGAAATAAAATGAGTATTGTCACTCCCAAACTGAAAAAATGTAAAGTGAAACAACGTAGTATTTTCATTAGCAAATTTACTTCTCAAGACATAGATTTTTGAGGTAATTCCTTGATTGGCCAAACTCACAATCTGAAAAATCAGACCTGTAAAAAGATTAAGTCACCTTCTGTCGTGCTCCAGCTCTCTTAAGCACTGAAATGGACTTACTCTGGGCTTACGCTGGTTGCCAAAATAACTTCACTTGTCATATTTATAATTTCATTTACTTCTTATGGCGTAGATGGATCCGAAGCGAGAGAACAAGAAAACATCGTTTCATAACACATGTAACGAGTATAGTTATGATCCTAATATTTATCCCATTTAGATAAGATCACTGAAAGGCCGATATAAAGTGTTTTGCGATGTTTGATGTAAAAACGAAATAACACGTTTCTTTTGTGGACAGACTCTCTACTTTCTCTTAGACTCTCGTTACATTTAAGTGGTCTATTTTACATTGCACTGAGGTAAGCGGCCCCGGAAACAATTGTAGTAACAACTTTCCCAAACTTGTTTTTGACTCAGCAATAGCACCTCCATCTGTTATTCATTCTGAAACGACTCCTCAACATCAAAGTAAGCATTTTAACCCTTCAATTACCCCGATCCAAGAGCTAATTCTGTAAACTGATAACCAGACAGTGCTTTTCTGTTTACTCCTGTGGTGGTGTTTGGTGTAATCATAGCAATTTCCCTAGGTTAATAATTTTCTGAAGGCTTACTACCCTTCTAGAAGATAGTGTATAGCTGTTGTAAGAATACTCCACATCTAGACCACACCTAGTTCTATCCTTTCAGGTTAAGTCTACTTATTTACCACACGACTGAACACTCACCAATAATTCTAACAACAGAGGAAGCGTCATCCTCCCCAAAGGAGTTTTGAACTTTGCAAGTGTACTCTGCACTATCTTGTAGTTCTGCTCCGCTGATAATAAGAGTGTTTCCATTGACAATGTTAATTCTTTCTCTTGAAATTACTTGGGCTCCATCCTTATGCCATATAACAACTGGTGTTGGTGTTCCACTAACTGGACACCAAATGGTGATACTAGTGTTTGAAGCTGCTGTCCCGTTATCCCCAATGTCCATGGTCACTGGACTGCCATCACCAAGGGGAATTTCTTTCCTGGTCTCTGGGACTTCGATAATTGGTTTAATTGGTTCTGTCGATGAAAGAAACTAAGTTAGGGAAGTGAAACTGTACAAGTATGCTTTGGGTTTAGGAAACTACATTAAGAATAGCTATAGATATGGGTATGTGGTATCGATAAAAGTAACTTTGAAGATCGATGGTTTTCCAAAAAGAAGTAGAAAATTTGTTTACCAACAATATATATGTAGCTGATTTCACTATCCTGGCCAGCAACGTTCACGGCAATACACTTGTATTGAGCCTCATCGTCCTCCCTTACTCCAACAATCAGTAACTCGCCGGTATTTCGAACTGTGTATCTTCCTCCTGTAGCTATTACCTGACCAGATTTAGTCCACGTGACACTTGGCTTTGGTACACCACTGACATGACACAGTAAAGTGACGCTTGAATCAGTAAGAGCTGTCACGTTATCGCCAATGGTCAAGATAATGGGACTTCGGTCTTGAGCTTCTATGACCTTTTGAGCAACAGAAATCCTTATCACGGGCTTGGAGTGCCCTATCAAATGGGAGTGAATACAGTTATTTTAGTTAACTTTGGAGTATTAGTACGATAAATGCTTAACGCCGTTTTTTAACACGCCTCGAAAGAAAGGGATTCAGTCATAGGTTCTTTGAATGTTTTTTTTTATCTTAAGACAACGCTTTGTTTGAGAATACGCCGTGAACCGCATAGAGGTATCTGCAAACGGCCAGGTCTTTTCGACAAACTGAAAGAAGGTGGGAATGACGGCTTACCAACTATGCTGACAACAGAGGAAACAGCATCCTGCCCAAACTTGTTCTGTGCACTACATGTGTACTTTGCACTGTCTTGTACTTCTGCTGATTGAAGCACAAGAGAGTTATCTACAGCGATGTTTGTCTTTCTTCCCTCTTCAATTTCTACTTCGTTTTTCTTCCAGGTAACACTTGGTGTTGGTATACCACTAACTGGACACCTGAGAGTGATGGTTGTGTTTGAAGCTGCTGTTACGTTATCACCAACGTCCAACAGCACAGGGCTGCCATTACCCACTGGAATGTCTTCACCAGTTTTGGGTACATAAATCACTGGTTTTCTTGGTTCTGCGTGAATAACAATAAAGCTATTAACATTCTAAAGTCTGAAAAATTAAATCTCCCATTGCACAATGTCCACTGCAAACAGGAGTCAATCCCGCCTTGATAAAAACAGCATTCTACAAAGGCTAATATTAGGCCATAACTGTACTGAGGATGCTACGTTTCTCATAGAAAAGCTCACCCACTATCCGAACCGTGCTCTTCATAGCCTCTCCACCCACTATGTTTGTTGCAGTACACCTGTATTCACCGCTGTCAAACTCAGTTGAGTATACAATCCGTAGGGAACCGTCATTTTGAACCATTGACCCGCTTCCCACGTAATGAGATAATTTCTGTCCATCTTTCGTCCATGTGATAGTAGGTGTTGGCACACCACTGGCTTGACATAGAATGACGATCGATGTTTTGGTGAGTGCTGTCGCATTATCCCCAATATTCAAAATGAAAGGACTTCGGTCTTGAGCTTCTTTCATTTGTGGCTTATGTGGAACGTCGATCTTTGGTCTGACAAGCTCTGATAAAAAGATAACAAGATCGATACCATAGATAAAATGAAATCTCGGTAAATATTCGATATGGCCTTGCGGTGAAATTTTATTGCATTTTATTACTGGATCAACATTGATTGAATAAACACAAACCTATTATTCGTACTCTAGAAGATACTTCATCTTTCCCAAACTCGCTTTCAGCACTGCAGGTGTATGTAGCACTGTCTTGTACTATCGGTTGTTTCATTATCAGACTGTTATCATCTGCGATAGAAATCAAATCATCTCCAATAATATTTACGCCATCTCTCTGCCAGGTAACAGTTGGTGTTGGTGTTCCACTAACTGGACACCTTATAGTGATGGTAGCGTTTGAAGCTGCTGTCACGTTATCACCAATGTTCATAGTTACTACACTAACATCATCAATAGGGATCTCTTGTCCTCGTTTGGGAACCTGGATGCGAGGTTCTGCCGGCTCTGTGAAACAAAAAGTCTGTTCGTGAGTTGTGTTCTATCGATCAATGCAAATTGAGGCTTAAGTGAGGTTCCTCTGTTATTCAACACTAAACGTTTAAGAGACCCCGGTAGTTGAGCTGATCCGAGATCTAGTCCTCGATTTTCCCAGTTTCATAACTTTTTTGCAAACGAGGTTTCTGATTTAAATTTCAAATTTTAATTTTAAATTCCATTTAAACCGGTTTATCTTCTTAAACACTTGGGAACAATTTGAGAGAATTATTCTTTGTAAGTTGACAACTCTAAGAATAAAACTATGCGGTACAAAACCTCGAGAACCACAGCAGAAAATTTCTCATCCTGCGACAAACGAATATACTATCATTTTTGTGCTTTACCAAGATGAACCACCAAAGCCCTCATAGTACTTGTCAGGCGGTTACAACCAGTTAGTGTGTTCTAACTTACCAACAACTTGCACTATGCTGGATGCGCTGTCTTGCCCATCAACGCCAACAGCATTACATGTGTATCTTGCACCATCCCGTTCATCAGCTTTATGAAACAGCAGCGACCCATCTCTCTGAACTTGATACCTGCCAGTATTACGCAGTATTCTTCCATCTTTTGTCCAGGTGATACTCGGCCTTGGTATCCCGCTAGTTGGACAAGTAATGGTAATGTTTGTCTTGGTGAGGGCTATCAGATCATCACCGATGATTACTACCAGGGAATTTCGGTTCTGTGCTTCGACAACTTTCTTCTCCTCGTTTACCATAATTTGCGGTTTGGAAGGCTCTGTGCGAGTCAGAATGTTAACAGTAATATTGAATATGCATTTGGCGGACATGAACTAAGCAATAGTGCGGCGAATAGTATTACCAGTTCTACTGGTGATTTATTTTAGCCTTCTTTGCTGCAAATAACATTTTAGATAACAGAACATATGAACTCTGAGTCTAAAAATATTTGACTTGATGTCTTTTTTTAAAATGAGTGAGCATAACGTACAATATGTGATGAAAGGAGTGATATATTGACCCGCGGATTACATCAAACTAAAGAAACGATCTTCCAACGTAAACTGCACTTAAAGCAAGTGCAAAAACGAAGCCTGAAAAATTCATGCTTCGATGGGATTCAAACCTGTGCCTCCAAGTTGGGCACTTTTACCAACTGAGCTACGAAGCTCAGAGAAAAAACATTTTATTGAGTCTTTTAATTGATCAAAAAAAGACTATAATTGACTGTTATAGCAGATTTTCCCGAGCATGCGATCATTAAGTAGTTTTTAAAGAAATACTCATAACCTGGGGGAAAAGGATTTGTCCCGAGTATTTACACTCAGTTCATTTAAAGAGATGCTGTACATCAAGAAAATGATTACTCACCAAGTATTGTAAAGTGGCTCGATTTTGAGGCTGTCCCTAAAATGTTGTTACTAGTACATGTAACACTTTGCAAATTGACTCGAACAGGGTCGCCCACGCTCAACGAAGTCTTGTTTACATTGCTAAGAATATGGTTTCCATTCTGGTACCATTTAATGGCAGGCTTAGGTTCTCCTTGCACTTCACATGCCACAGTTACAGTTGAGCCAGCAACCAAAGTAAGATTACTACCAACCTCAAGTGTTATGGCAGTGATCTTATCATCGACGACCACCACACGACCCTTCGACCTGATTAATGGCTTTTCACCAGCTGAGAAGATCACAAAGAGTAATTATAGGAAGCTTACATAACTTTGGATTAAATCAAATTTCATGGGCAAGTCTTCGCATTTGCGAGGAGCTGTTATTTGTTAGATTTCTTTGCCGGAAACGTCGAGTAAAGTTAAACTATTACAACAATACTATTGAGAAAAATGTTAGTTGGGCTTAAAGACGGGCGTCATTCACAATCTGCAAGAATATGTGTATAACTGCATTTAAAACTGCATTTATAATTAGCGTCAGTGAGACATAAAATAAGAACCCAAAAGGCAATGTTCCATTAAAATCCACAAGGGAAATGCTTTTTACTCGACAAGCAAGGACAATTTGTCCCTGTGTTTCTGAGAGCCTTGTCAGCACAACATCTGGGTTATTTGTATCGCATAAGTGTCTTAAATCACCTCTCGAATGAAAAGTGCTGAGAGCATATGACTACAAAGAAAAATCAACTTATGTTGCTTGAAATAAGACAAAGAAAGTTAACTTCGAAACATACTGGGTCGTAAGTGAGTTTTCTTCTCCATCTATCAACTGCCGCTTGTCTGGAAACACGCACTCACCTCTCACAGACAGCACTGTTGAATAGCTTACAAAGCCTAAGAAATTTTCCGCTGTGCAAGTGTAACGGCCTGCATCCTCCATGTCAACATTCTGCAGTAGCAGGAGACTAGATTGAGAATTTCTCAGTTTTATGTTATCTTTGCTCCAGGTCAGCGTTGGTCTGGGTGCCCCCGTGGCAACACACTCCATTGTTATATTACTCTTATCGAGGACCGTTAACTTTTCTCCAATCGAAATTTTCAGTGAGACACGATCAAGTAGCTCCCGTTCTCTTGTCGCGAAAAGAATTCTTGGCTTTACAGATTCTGGTGAAAATAGTTAAAGTTAATAAAAGTGAGGTCAAAACAACCTTAAATTACACGACGGCTTCAAGTCCGTGAAAAGCGGATTGAGTGTTTTTTTTTTTCCTGAAAGATTGCGTTTCTTTGTCACCGTTTTATAAAAAATATATCAGACAAGGCTGTGCTGTACTTGATAAACTGATCGAAAAAATATCAAAATTATATCAACAATTTGAGAGCATCGAAATTACTTCATTGACGGGGTGTTCCATGCATTTTTTGTGAAGTTACAAAGCAAGTCAATCGGCCGCGTGCGCACCGGTTCGCCACGCCCCTGACTTTGAATGGAAAGAGAATGTCCAAGTGGCTAATAGCCTGACACACTGATAGAACTTGACGTGTACTCAATTTTTACCACATGTCCTTCACTTTGCACTCACTCTTTTCCGCTAAAAATAGGGCTAGAATTTTCCCTTCAACCCTGCTTACCAACGAACGTAATATTGGAGACTGCAGCTGCTTGTCCGCCGGGGCTTGAGGCTGTGCACATGTATAGACCCGAGTCAGACACACCGGATGATAACAAGCTTATTCTGTTTTCACTTACAAACAAGCGTTCCGTGTCTGAGCTCGTAATGGGGTTGTGCCCTTTGACCCAAGCAACCTTGGGGTCGGGAAATCCAGAGACGTCACAGGTAATGATGACGGGAGTTCCAGTCAATGTTGTCACTTTACTCCCAATCTTTACAGTTATTGGCTGACGGGTAGGATCAAACATTTCCACTGAAATGTTCGACGAGTCGATTTTTGGGAAAGTTGGCTCTGAATGAAAGCGAAAAAAAAAAGTCTCTTTCCATGTACATAGTAGGAGTAAAATTGTTGCCCGTGCGCAACCCAATGTTAAATGCTTACTCTTAAGGCCACGTTCCACCTTCTTTAGCCCAATATTATTTAAGTTCTCGTTTCTTACAAAGATTCAAGCTTCCCAATCACACACTGAGCCAAAAAATGTGATTAACATCATCAATTTCACATATCAATAAGATCTTGGTCTAAGCAACTGCAACCTAATGGTCAAGAGAGATTGTATGTTGATCAAGCTCTAAGAGTACTGCAAGATGACCATTTATTATCCAACTACACTTCATAGAGTACAAATAACGCCATAGATGAGTACAAATATCACGCGGTATTTGTACTCTGGAGTACCGGTTAAACAGGTTTTCTCGCATCGCGCAATCGAAGAATTGAATTGTAGTTAAGAAAAAAAAATGGCGGACAATTTGAATCATATTTCCGACGACGAAGAGTCAGAATGGCTGGCAAATATACATCCAAGTTTATTAGATGAATCGAATGAAGAAAAACAGCTAGACGACCTATTGCTCAAATAGTGCTTTACTGCGAAGGATCGTTCTCATATACGTCTCATAACCGCAGTTCACACATATGTTTCATATGTTTGTTGTTGTTTGATTTATCATCTACGGGTTTATATCGAATTAATTTGATGGCCTGCTCCCAGTTGGCTTGTTAGCTCAATTGGTAGAGCGCTGCACTAGTATCGCAGAGGTCAGTGGTTCGAATCCCGTACAGGCCTGAAATTTTTTTCAGGTCTGATTTTCACTATTGCTCAAATAGNTATTTAACAATTATTCCACGAGCGCGCGTTGGATATGAGATGATAGATAGCCAACGAGGCGCGTAGCGCCGAGTTGGCTATAATCATCTCATATCCAACAAGCGCGAGTGGAATAATTGTTTTATTAAAAACGTTAAATTAAATTATTAAATTTTATTAAATTTTTAGCTCCCTTTTAATTTTAAGCTGACACGTACGCTTGCCATATTTGTAGATTATGGTATATTGGCTGATATACCATAATGGCTAAGCCAATAAAAAGTCTTGAATTGCATTATCCAATGATCTAGTTTTTAATAATAAGATATAGATATTTACTCACCAAGAACCGTCGTGTAAGATGATTCTACAGCTTCTCCTGCAATATTGGTAGCCACACAGGAGTACTCTCCAACGTCATTTTGGCTCATCTCAATAATTTTCAAATCCCCTGTGTCTTGATCAATCTGAAGAGTATCACTGACTACCACAGGAATACCATTAAAAAGCCAAGAGGTGGATGGCTGTGGTAATCCCTCGGCCGGGCATCTTAGCAAAAGGTTTCTTCCTTCTAAAATGGTCACATTTCCTCCAACAAGGTGTTCAACTGTTCTCTGATTTCCGAATTCCTCCTTGTTTTCTCGTGTAGTTATGATGCGGGGCACTGTTGCCCTCTCTGGTGCTATGCGATCTAAAAATTATCATCATTGTGCTGAACTTAGGTGGTTAGATTTGCAACAATTTTATATTAATTTTAATTACCTTTTTTTTCATATTTGTTGTGGCTCAATCGGTTTTTTGTTACTTATTTGTACACTTATCACTGGCTTAATAAAACAAGTTGACCTTCTATAAGATCAAAAAGTAGTTTAAAACTACTTTACAATTTACGAGATATTCCCTGCACATCTTTTAATTCCACAAAATATAAACTGTTACTAACCAAGGACAGCAACAACCGAGCTGGTTGTTATGGAGCCTGCCAGATTGGTCGCCCTACAGGAATACACCCCAGTTGCGTTTGTGTCACTAGCAGATACAACGTGCGAAGTCTGAGTGTTATTTAGATCAAGTTCGCCTTTCCACCAAGAGAAAGTGGGACTGGGGACACCTTGCGCTACGCAAACAAACGTGATGTTATTGCCAAGCACAGTGGTTATATTGGTACCAATGGTTGCTCTGTAGTTAACTGCATTTGACAGTTCTAAAGATAATTCACTTGTTATGATGCTTGGTGCAGTAGGCTCTGGAGTTAAGAAAAACAAATCAGGTTTAAGAATGGACTGATTAATAGAAAGCCAATAGTCTGTCTGAATTATGGCGATTCGATGGCTGTTGAAATTTTTATGCTCAATAGTTGAATCAGTTAAAAAAAGCCACTCTTTATGATTATGAGAGCGATAATTAACCTTTTAACCCTTCAGAGTGGATAGCATCTAATTTCTTCGTAAAATATCACCCTTGAATCACACATCAAGGTCACAAGGATAACGGAAATGATCACCAACTAAAGAAGTTCTTGATTATTAAAGAAATTCTCGAAATAGTGTGGTCAATATGCATGCTGACGTTAGAGTGTAAAGGATTAACTCACCAGTAAGGGTTATATCGGAATAAGAGGCGTCTTTTCCGAGGAGGTTCGTAGCCACACATCGATAACGTCCCGAATCGGATGTCTCACTGTCCTCACTGAGCACCAAATTGGTACCATTCACTTTGTGTTTACTAGGTAAAGATCCTCCGTCTTTGGTCCACTCCACATCTGCCAATGGTATGGCAAACACTGGACACTCAACTATCACCTACAGAGTCATGGCAGTGTTGTAACCATGAGAAAGGGCGTAAACAGTCTAAAGAATTATTATTAAAATTCCTGATTGAGATATCTTAGCTTACCTACTTTTAAGTTTGCCAACAAAACACCTTTATTCCATGGGACAATTGTTGGCAATAAAATGATTTAAAAGGTTGATAAAAGAAAACACAAAAACAAGCCATGTAGTTACGCATGATGCACGATCCTCGCAGTAGAGAGCGTTATTTATGCAATAGCGAAAATCAGACCTGAAAAAAATCAGGCCTGAACGGGATTCGAACCACTGACCTCTGCGATACTTGTGCAGCGCTCTACCAATTGAGATAACAAGCCAACTGGGAGCAGGCAGTTAAGTTGATTCGTAATAAACCCGTGATGATAAATCAGATATAATGAATATATGAAGTTCATATATTCATTATATCTGATATTGGTAGAGCGCTGCGCTCTGTCATATATTGGTAGAGCGCTGCACTAGTATCGCAGAGGTCAGTGGTTCGAATCCCGTACAGGCCTGATTTTTTTCAGGTCTGATTTTCGCTATTGCATAAATAGCGCTCTCTACTGCGAGGATCGTGCACCATACGTATCTACAACCGCAGTTGAAAATATATGAACTTCATAATTTCATTATACCAAGCCATGTAGTGTTGTAAAGGAATGGAGTTTGTTTCCCAAATCCTATCATACCTTCGTTTTGGTGAACGCCCGCAAACTATCTCCGATTACCAACTTGATAGGGTTCCTGGATTCCAGCGACACTTTATCGCCGACTGAACCAGTAACCCAGGTGGATTTTATAGAAGGTAGAACACGCTCTAAAATACAAAGAAGTATAACGAAATTCCTGTGAACACAATTTAGGCCACTTCTAGAGAGATTACAAAGCACATCTCTTGGTTTTTAAGTAAACAGTTCAATTCTGTAAGTATCAGTCGTTCGTATGCTGTGATTATTCAGGTGAAGGAATGATTTGGGTGACGGTGACTCTTTACTGAAAGACTAAACTTTATGGGATATTTGGAGTTCTAAATCTCTTTCCGTGATCTCAGGTTCTCAGGCAGTAGTTCTATTAACATGTTAATGATATACACGAAAAAATTACGCGAGTCTGATTGGCTGAGAACGAGTGCAATTTTTATGTGACACCAGTGTAAATTACAAACAGCGCACGCGCTGTTGAAATTTTGTTTGTCTAGACTTTCTGTGATACTTTTTTCACATAAATCATCAACAAGTAAAACATGATTTCTCGTGCAATTTGGTGTTAAGTTTTTCAAAGACTACAAATAATTATTGCACTCGCCCTTTTGTCTTTGAAACATTTACTCGTGCTCATCAACAACAAATTGCAGTCGAACTCATGTTATTACCTATACAAATTGCACTTGGTTTCGTCTCATACCATAAAATGTGACGTAAGAGAAGGCCGTGACAGATCCTCCCACATTATATGCAGTGCAGCCGTAGACCTCATCTTCTTGAGCCGGTTGTGATCCCCTGATGAGAAGTGTGCTGACTTTACCGTCATAAGGAATGATAGATATTCCCTGAGCTTCAAAGCGTGGGTCAAGACGCACATTTCCTTTGACCCAATTTACGCGAGGAGTTGGGAATCCCATAACACGGCAGATAAGATCAATTCTGGTGCCTTGTATTACTTGTAACCTCGTTCCAATGGTCACCGTAAGAGACACGCCTTCCTCAAACGATTTTAAAATTCTATCTTCTGATTCAATCACGGGTGCAATTGATGCTAGAGAGAAATTTCATACAAAGAGTGAACATAGTTATCGTTGTTAATATTAACTTTACGTGCGAGGTAAATCTACAATGGTAATTCCTCGGAAATAAAACCAGCTGAATTGAGAATTTTGTCCAGTTTTACCTATTGGTTGTTTAGGTTACGAAGGACTGACTTTAGAGCGGAGTACCCCGTGTTCTCTCGTTTACGGCAGCAGATTATCAATGATATATCGCTATAAGTATAACAGTGATATATTACAATACATAGTAGATACTAGATACATAGTAGATGCTACGTACAATCATAATGGATTTCAAGATGATTAATTTTCATTCCGCTTTGAGAATTGGTCTTTTCCGCAGAAAGAGGGCAATTAATCAATAAAATAATAAAAATAGTATAAACTGGTAAAGAGCAATGTAAACAATCGAGAATTTACGCGGGAACCTGTTGCAATCCCGCGTTTTTCCATCATCTTTAACGTAAGGAACAAAAAATATTAAAAGAGCTGGATACTTGTGAACAATCTACCATTTTCGATATGTTAAAATTCTAACATGGTTCCGAGGCTAGGGCAATGACACAAATGAAATTATTTATCTATTCCTTAACCTCGATGTTATTTCTTTTGTTTTATTCCTCCAAGCCTCGGAGCCAAGTTTGAATTTCATTAATCGAAAATGGCCTTCTGGCCCTAGATTGATAGCGAGGAAACATGGTAAAAGTTTTAACTGGTTACTGAGTGAACGCACATTTGCCCGATTGTGCAATGGACACTGAAAAATATCGGAGATGTGCCTTTTATTTTCCTCGAAATATGTCTAAGATTACGAGTCAAATAAATTTTTGCCTTTCTATGCAGAATTTCATTTTTCTTACAATTTTCTTAGTAAAAAACTGTTAACATTATGTGTTGATCACGTTAACTGGGGCTTGAACCACGAAATAAAATGGAGACTTAGGCTTTTACATACATACATACATACATACATACATACATAGGTTAATTGACCACTTCCCATAGGGNAGTCGCACAGACTAGTCGCAGGGACTAGTCCCCTCGTGTGTGCCGACCTTGAGACCTACATCCAGTAGAGAGTACTTACATTTGACAGTCAGCCGAGTTGTTTCTCTCGCATCCCCTGCAATGTTTGTTGCCAAACAGGTGTAATTTCCAGAGCTTTCCTCCTTCAGAATTCCAAGGCTCAACTTTCTACCTGTGCCAATTTTCTTACTCCCACGCAACCAAGTTATCTTTGGTGTGGGTAATCCCTGCACAGAGCAGGTCAACTCCAAATCAATGCCATCTCTACAGAGTATACTTCCTCCTACAGCCTCTGACAGTCTCACAAGTTGTTCTATCTTTAAATCTTTACCAGTCGGCGTGATTCTTGGGCTTATTGGCTCTGTAGAATACATCAATACATCCGTGTAAATATGGCAGCACAATGTATTAAGAAGAATGTACATCCATTTCAAAGAGGGTGTTATCTTGACATAGAACATCCTGATCGTGTCTAACAAATGAAATGCTTAACGAACTGCTAAAACCAACATCTAGCAGGCGAAAGGTCTCTGAGGGTTCTCTCTATATTAGTTCAGATCATTTAATCATATATATCATCAAAATTCAGACCCTCAGCTATTAAAGAGAGCGTGAGAAAAGGAGCAGTTGTTATGTTCATCACATCAAGGCTTGACATACGAAAGAATATCCTGACTGAGGTGCCACTGACAGAAGTCGATTAAGTATGTCGCTTACAGAACACGATATTGTTCTCTGAATAACAGACTAACACCGGGGAAAACACGAGCATGTACTTGACCAGTGTTCTGGTGTAATAGGTTTTTGTGACTCTCTTTCTTCAATCACAACCTATACACCCGCCGAACTCAACTCTTACACTCTGTATCATGCAGAGTCTCATGCTTCTCTTCTATCATAATCGGTGTTTCAGACAGCCTATTTGATACAAACCTATAAAATCAAGCTTCGAAGAAGCTGAATCCTTTCCAATCGTGTTTTGGGCAAGGCAAGTGAAAGAACCACTATCGTCTCGCTGAGTACGGCGAATGACAAGAGTTGTGCTGTTCATAAAGAGCCTTTTGGATGAAGTGATCTTTTTGCCTTTTCTCTGCCAACTGATCGTAGGTTCAGGTATTGCAAACGCACGGCACGTTATCACAAGTGGTGCACCAGGCAGAATTGTAACACGTGTTCCAATTGTAATGGAGACCAGGCTCAAGTCGATGATTTGTTCGACAGAGGTGGAGGAAACCTCAATTTTCGGAATTAAAGCCTCTGTAAGGAGAGAAAAAGTTTCAGCTCAACGATATCTCCAAAGTAAGGAACAATTCTTTTACTATTTAAGACATCCATTTTGAAATCGCTGGTGATCCTTGCAATCCGGTCGGCTCCTATCTGTCCAACTTATTCACCAATCACACCATTTTTTGCTTTAGATCGCATTTTTTCCCAGCCAATGGGACAGCTTTATTAAAACACAACAACCAATCAGAGTTTAAGGCTTGATTAAAGAAACAAATAAAATTGCAGGAAAATGAAAGACAACTTTACAAACCAGCTTAAAACTGGATCAACATAATGTTTGTAAAAAATTAAAAAAAAAAAAGAAAAAAACTTGTATCCGAGCGATTGAGTTTGCGATTTCAAAATAGGTGCACTGGAAAAAATTAGTTTAAAATGAACGTCGTTGTGAAATTCTACTTATGAACATCAGAATGAAGGTTTTAGAAAGAAACCGCATGCGACAAGACAGTGAGGTTGATATTAATTTTTCGGCACCATTTTGATTTTATAGCCTGATGATTAAAAAATTGTTGCGCACCTATTACAGTTAAAGTTGATCCGACTCTGTCTGAACCACCGACGTTTACAGCAATGCATTGATACTGTCCAGCACTCCCTGGTGTCAGCTTTCTCACAATGAGGCGAGACCCTCCAACTATGTCTTTAATAACAAATCGTCCTATTGAAGACACTTGGCGTCCATTCCAGCGCCAATTTATCACTGGAGAAGGGGTTCCACTGGCCAGGCAGTCTATAGACACATCTGAGCCTGATAACACTTGTAAACTGTCACCAATCTGAATGCTTACCTCCCTTGGACCTTTAATGGACTTCACGGAATTATTTCCAGACTGAATTTGGGCACCACTTTTACCTAAATAAGGAATAATTTAGTAACAATTTGGATCAAGTTAAGGTTAACAAGAGCCTGGAATGTTTTTGCTCAAAGATGGTTATCGTAAGATAATTTCTATTTGGATATTTCATCGTGTCATTTGCAACATTTCTACAGTGGAACCTCGATTTAACGAAGTGCCAAGGGACTGGGGAAACTGGTTCGTTATATCGAGGGTTCGTTATATCGAGGTTCTGTGGCATACATTTTACCGTAATTTAAGCAGGGCTAAACTGAAGTATCGTTCGTTATACCGAGGACTTCGTTAAATAGAGGTTTGTTAAATCAAAATTCCACTGTAGTCTAAGAACGAATAAAGTTAATATCGTGCGTATGCTGTTTAATATACGGCGGTAAACAGAGTCACTAGGACCAACCACAAAATGTGGAAATTTACTCGGTTATACTTCATGAAAATAGACAAGTAACGATCCCTAAAGCAATGAAGAGATTGATTCAATGTTCTGTAAGTGCAGTTTCTAACTCACATTTAAGCCCACAATGAACGTAGCCGCACCTACCTATGATCCTGACAAAAGTGGATGCTCTGTCTTGTCCTGCGCTGCTTTCAGCCATACAAGAAATCTCGCCAGCATCCCGAGCCTGTATACCGTTCACAATTAAAGAGCTAGACCGACTGTCAATCAGAAATCGTCCTGAAGTTTTCAGCATCCGCTCGTTTAGAAACCACGAAACTTCAGGAGTCGGGAATCCGCGGACTGGACACACAACACGAACTATCAACCCCTCCACAACTCGCAAATTCTGCCCAATCTTAACAACTGCTTCCTCGATAGCAATAGCAGTAACCTGCCCCGTCGATTTTTCAATCTGGGGTTTTTCGGACGCTGTTAACAGGATAAAATGAAAAAAAATGCATTAATCTCTTAAATGTTTTCGGTCTTGTCGTTCGTCAAAAGCAAAGAAAGCTCGATGTGAAGCGAGGAGGCTGAAGACCAGTTTAATAAATAGTAAGACGTTTTTACGATCATAAAGGCATGGGCTCAGATTTAAATTTGTCAACACTAGGATGTGATAGCGACTAGAAAAATGAACTCTAACTAACTTACCAATCACTGTTAACTCGCTGATTCGACTGATTCGACCAGCTCTGTTCAACGCCTCACAAGTAAAGGTTCCAGTGTCCATTGTAGTGACTTTATTTATCTTCAGGGTTCTACCAAACTCTGCCAGGTCTTTGTCATCTTTCTTCCATTGTACGGTTGGAGTAGGAAGTCCAGATGTGGGGCAGGTGATAACTATACTTGCACCAGCAAGTAAGGTCAGTTCGTCACCAATTGTGGCTTCAATGACCTCGTTAGGACCAAGGGAGGTTATTTTCCGGTCAGAGTAACGTATAGTTGGAGGCTCGGGAGCTATATGGGTAGAACCAATAAAAAGAAGTGTTAAAATAACTCTTTAGGTAAAAATTCCTCCCAACTAATCGTAATGATACAAATGTGATCAACTGCATACGTGTAAATAATAATATAATGGTTTAATATTTGAAGTGCGCAAATTCCATTTACTTATGATCAAATGCGCATAGTTAAAATAGTTCATTCCTTCCAATTTTTTTAGCTCGGTCAAACTATCTGCATGTGAAGTCATTCGGACCTTCGCCGAGAGACAATAGTGCAAAAACTCGTTCAAACCAAGAGAATAGTAAAACCGAGAAAAGCTTTAAGGTCGACACCTTCCTTTGAGAAAGTTTAGCCTGTTTCAGGAATGAGGCCTGAGATACATAATTAATGCTGACTTACGTAAAATATCAATTTTTGAAGACTTGGAATCCTGTCCAATATTATTGCTAGCCGTGCACGTGTAATCTCCTGAGTCCTCAACTCCAGGATAACTGATGGTAAGAGTAGAGTTATCTTTGCTAAGAGTTACGCCATTCTTGAAACCGGAGTTTTTTCCACGAATTTTCCAGCTTATGGCGGGGGATGGCTCCATTTCGGAAACACAGCGCACTGTCACTTGGGTCTCAGAGATGACGGTTAATTTGGTTCCAACGTATATTTCGACCTCTTTGTTTTCTTCTTCGATGACTCGTAAATTTTTTGTTCCTGCTTGAATCTTGGGAGGGTTCAAAGCTTCAAAAAAAAAAAAGAAACAAAGGAGTCAAAACTCTCAAAATCAAAGAAAGTTGGTGATAATTTGTTTGCATATTGCTCACACGCAATCTTGATGTTTGGTACTCATTTACTGGAACCACTTTTGTTCTGGAATTATGTGTATGTACCTATAACGGTAACGGTCGAGGTTGCGTGGGTTCTTCCTCTGCTGGATCTGGCATTGCATTTGTATTCCAAAGCATATCTCTGGTCAATGCCTGTGATCACAAGATCCTGGCCAACTTTTACAGCCTTGCCAATCTCCGCTGAACGACCCCGGGCTGTCCAGTAAACTACTACAGGAATTGTTGCTTCTGCAGGACAACGGATAATAAGTTTCGCTCCTTGATAAACCGTGACGTCAGTTCCTATGGTGATCTCTGCTTCTTTAGTATTAGGTCCGAACGAGACATCGCCTTCTGCTGTAATTATTGTAGGTAAAGAAGGATCTAAAAAAAATAGCGGTGAAAGATAATTGTTTCCCTTTAAGGGACGATATGATTATTAAAATGTTTGTTATGCTATCTGAGGTTCGTGAGGAGTTCTTAAAGTGAAAATATCTAACCATTTTCACTGCATTACCGCAGTAGGGTAGGACTAGAACGGAACATATGCGAACCATGCGAGTGGTCCATCCAATAAATTCCCCCCCTTCCCACCCCAGGGGAGGACATCCATCACACAGTAATCTCGTGCGTGGAAAATTAACGTCTCCTACCCCTAACCCTGTAGGAGACGGGACCTCCACTCGTTCGTCCCTATCCGAGAAGACTAGAATATCTAACCATTTCTTGATGTTACATTTTAAGACGTTGAGTGTTGGTCCGGCCGGGCTTTGAACCCTCAACCTCCCGCACAGCAGTCCAGCGCTCTATCCATTGAGCTAACCGGGAGGCGGTTGCCTTTCCGGAGAAATAAGCAGAGTAGGTTTAAACGTCAAACGCATATTTGTTTCTTGGGATGATTATTGAAGATAATGTTTATAGTTCATACTTTGTTATAACGCATTGCCTCAAGATCAGTGACGTAGCCTTACAAAATACTCGTAAAAATCGTCATCAAACACCGATATGCTGTAGACCCACATTTAAACACGCTTCTGGTATTATCTCGATCTGTCTTCCCTCTTGCAAGAATGACAGGAGACCTTCGTCCTCAGGGCAGCTATGGTCATTGCAAGTAATTCCATGATAAGTGTTTTTCACTTACCGATTATCTTGGCGGTGAACAAGGCTTTCGTTTCTCCTGCATCGTTTGAAGCTTTACATGTATAGGTATCTTCGTTAAACCGAGTCAATCTACGAATTTTTAAAGTACCATCTATAGCTGCCACACCCCCTCGGAATCTGTCTGTAATCAATAGCCGGCGTCTTAACCACTCAATCTTAGGAGAGTCAAAAGTGGAGCTTGCTCTGCAAGACACGGTTATTTCAGTCCCTCTTACTGCCCACACGGTGGAACCAACGTCTACAGAAACTTTGCTGACTTTTTTTACCACAAATTTCTTTATTTCACTCTCCACTATCACAGGTAAATCTAAATGCGGGAGAATAATGAAACACCGTTGCAAATTCACTATTAAACAGTTGTTGTACATAGAACATCCTTAAACAAAGTTTTCTATAAAAACCAAAGAAAAAGCAACACCAGCTAGGAAATCCTAAATGACTTTTTTAAGGGAAATTAAAAGTCTCGTTTTAGTTTACGTTGAAGAGGTTCGTTGTCATTTTCGATTGCAGTGTAGCTATCTGGGCAAATTCGTCTTCAAGAGTCTCAAGAGGAACATCAACAAGTCTAGGGGTAAAGAGGGTAGAGTAACATTAAAAATAGTCATGATTCCTCCATCCCCTTGCTCACACAACTGAAGTAAACATTTAGTCTTCCATACGGTTTCCCCCGGTGAATCATGGAACAACGGTAAGGCCAGTTATATCTTTCACATTACTGTTAAAAAACGCAATAAATTTAAAAAAAAAGGCAACATCATTCCCTTCATTAGATTTTGATGTGATTTACTTGTGACTTAATTGTTTTTTTTTTTTTTCGATGGAGAAATGGTGCCTAACTAGCAAAGGTAACTGTGCAGGATAGAAAGGATGAAAAACCTTCCCTGGTACGCAACTATGAATTACTAAGGTGGTATAACTCCACTTAATCCTAAAAAGCCATAGAGTACTACGATAGTTACACAGGCAGCTCTAGAAAATGTGCCACGAGATTCCCACTTTCTTGAATAATTTTTTTTTGACCCACCAAACCATAGAAAATTTCGTTTCCCCAGGAATAGGAAAGTGAAAGAAACGTTGTTTTGCCCACAATCGAACCACGTAACAAGAATTAACCTGACATGAGTATGATCAAGTGCACGTCAGGTTCAATTACTTGGAAACAACTCTAATAATATGAGGGTCAGGGAACATTTTCATGATTTTCATGATTTTTATGTTCACTCCGCAAATTAACTAACTGAAATAAAACATTTACATTGAATATATCAGCAGAACAATGACCTGACCTGTTCCGTTAGGTAGTACTGCACTGCCATCGTCCAAAACATCTACAATCAAGAAATAAGACGCCATCAGTGAAAATATTTCTTAATCCGACATCACTCTCTTGCTTCTGCCAAGGATCTAGTTCCTGCCCTTGATAAGCGTTACGGCAGGATGCCTTCCACTCGAGTGTCACTGTATTTTCTCAAAATTCCACGATCTTACAGATATTTATCAAGTGGCGTAAATGCTTCACACGATTATTAGGCAATCTGTCGTCCAGAGCCGCCATTACTCTTATCCAGCGGAACAGGCGCGCGGGGGGGGGGGGGGGGGGGGGCCCCGGATAAATCCGACTAACGAAACCGCGGTGTTGTGGTTCCGGTTTGACAATCCATACGTGGAGCTTTTATGTCTTCTGTGTCATTTGTTCTTTTATGTCTTCTGACATAAATAGAGATCAAAACTGGTTTAAGAAACCACTAAGTACAGTACAGCAGTCACCTTTCGAACATATTGATAAGCACCAAGATCGAATACACAATGGTTCGGACGAAATAAGATATTTTCGAGCTGTTGCAGCGTAAAGTTGGATAACGCTGAATATCTCTGAAGGTAGCACAGAAAGAGGCAATACAAAGTACAGTGTTGTGCTTCAGTATTCATACAGTGCACCTCCTACTGGTTTTCATCATGTTTTTTTCCACCAACTAACGCTCGATAATTGTTAAATAGATATTTCTTCAATGGTCGACTTATCACTCTTAACACAAAATCTTTTCACTCTACGAGTGAATCTGAGTCATACCTAAGACTAAACTAAGACACCACTCTACTACACTCTTTTTCATCTTGCCCATAAGGCAACTTAAAAATTCTCCAACGGTTGGTGCGGTCGTCATAATAAGATTTAACGTTACTTTTTTCCCAGAAAGACGAATTTAGTTTCTATTTTTAATAACATTTGGGGGTTGACGGGAGTCAAGTACAAAACGAACAGGATTCAAATTTTATTGAAAATCGCGAATTTAAATAGTCTATCTATATATGTCCACCAGTATTACATAATCAACTGCTCCGAAGCAGTAGTTTCTACGAGCTTCCTGATTGGTCAAAAAATATCGTTTATTGCGACAGCAAACCCATAGTTATTTCATAAAAGCTATAGAAAGCACTCTATCGATTTAACGGCGTAATGACACACTTGAAATATTGGGACAACACAAGAAAAATTTGTAAATCACGAGCAAGTGATTCGCAAGCATTTCTCGTGTTCTTCCAACATCCTTTACAACGGTCAACCGATAGAAAGTGCAGTCTACTGCTAGAATAAAGTAGAGATAAATTAAGCAGACAAAGCAGTTAAAACTCTTTTAAAATCTTACCATCTTGCTCGAACTTGAGAGCCCTTCTCTCTCGTATATCGTCATCTTCTAAAACGTGAAGTAATGTTGTAAAGGAGTGAGGATCTTCCACCTGAAGAATAAAAACAACTAAAATTTTAGTCAGTGATCTCGAGTGAATGGCACTTGATTGATGTTTCGTGCAGTTTATCGGTTGTTCAAACGTTAGCCTGTTCTTTTAATTGATTTTGTTTTTGTTTTTTTTTTTCGTATATGCTGGAAGTTGTCTTCAAGAAGACCTGATTTGTTTTATTTCTTAATTTAAGTGAGCTTTTCTATTCATTGGGAGGATTAGTAAAATAGATACTGTGTTACCACAAAACATTCCGCTAATGTTGCATTTTAAATTTAGCGAAAACGTTGTTGATGTTGTTTTTTCTCAGTTTGTACCCAGAAGCCACTATAGCATGATTTTGCATTTGCCACTTAAAAAAGTGCGAAAAATATTAACTTTATCCCCCCCAACGAATCTCGTCTGTAACCGCAAGACAATAGGTTGACAACTTCGGAATAATACTAAATGCTGTAAATGACAACTTCTTTCAGTTTGTTAAGAGTACCTAAGAAAACGTCCTCAGACCAAGCTTATAAAGAATGCGCCAGACTGCCTCAAAACCATATGTGACATTCGAGTCCATATCAACTGTTAAAATAGTAATTACGTCAGAAAAATTTGCCATTCACTCATAAAATTTGGTTGCCTTTCAAAAACCGTATTGAGTGGGTGTACGGCGGTTTTCAGTTATTCAGGGAATTGCGTTAAGAAACGATTTTCTTAAATCAGTCTTAACCAGATATTTGATTGTTAATGTGCAGTAAAGGCCTCTTGATAAGAAATAAAAGGTACTAAAGTGACCTGTTAATCAACTGAAACAGGCGCCGACATTTAAGAAAGATCTAGAAAACTACTAGTATATCGAAAATACAAAGCTTTCACAATTGATTTTGGGGAGCGCACGAACATATGTTTCGACATATGCTGCAAACATGCTGCATAGAGTGTATCAATAATCCAACACTGGGAACGTTTTAAATACTTTTCCTTAAAAATAAGATTAAAATAACTTCTGTGGAGAGGCGTTAAACTTTTTATAATCCTAAGAAATGTAGCGAAAACAGGCGTAAAGGAATTCAGTTGAAAGCTATCGCCGATCTAAGTTAATTCAAACAGAGTGCCCGTATATTGACGTGGACATTCCCACTTGTGTAACTCGCCAGTTGTCTTTCTTCACAGTTCGTTGGTGGACATAAAATTTATCATAATCTCAAAACAAAAACCAGCTTTTCACCAGAATTTTTGGAAAGATGTTCATTTGTTTAAGATTCTCGCTCTCTGGTTAGTTTCTAATTTTCAAGAATTATGCTTAAATTGGATACTACTAAACTTGAGTACTTGTAAGCATTTGACGGTATCAATAAATAAGTGTGCCAAGTTAGCAGTCCCCACCTCTGATGAACTGTGAATGATAGAATGTTTTTCAAAAAATGTCTCGATTTATCCGACAAAAACAAAATTCATCGTTATCTTCATGTATGGCAATAGTCTCTGTGTATGTTGGAAAATCTAAAATCTCACGCTCTATTTCTCTTCATCAGTAAGATCGTCATTGTCGCAGGGCGAAACGACAAATGGCATTAAACTTTTAAGACTATTAAATTCGCTTTAAAGCAGCTATCACCTTAATCTGCTGGTTCCAGCAAAAAAAAAAACAGAGATTAACATATGGTTGTCCCTGTATCAAGGCCAAAAATGTTTTAGCTTGAAAAATTAATGTACATGTTTTAATGCCTTTTCTGCGTTATGACCTTTCCACAAGTAGAGGTGGTTTCAAGATATTATTTTCATGTTTTCTTTCTCGTGGCACTTATCTATTACAGCTAAAAATTATATACAGTACACTTCATATGTCACGAGACCAGTGATCAGTTTGTGTCAAAAAGACTCAACATGGGTTACAAGCGCTCGTTGCATCGAAGCATGGCTCCTCGCTTCTCACGTTAATAAACTAAAATACAATAATCATACACTGTGTATGTAACGATCGCATGCAAAATTCAAACTGACCTCCTGTTGTCCTGAGGGTATAACGCAACTGAAGACGACGGCAAAGATAAGAAAACATGTCTGGGTTCTAAACACACAAAGCAAAGAACAGAATTCGTCTTAATTAGCCTCACACTACTCTCATCAGTGATTACAAGCAGGACACTTTCATCGATGTTTGGGTTCGCATCAATGGTGATCATAACAAACCAGGTATTTGTAAGAATGTTTCCTTACCTGAATACAAAGGGGCTTATCCTCAAATACTGCCTCATATTATGTGAAAGTCCTCACAATGCTGTCGCACAAAAACTAAACTGTCTGCGGTGTTCTGCCGCGTTATTTAAACCGAGTTACGAAATTTCGTCTCAGGAGTTGTCAGTTCGATTTCCTGTTGAATTCTGCCGCAAAATCAAAGTGAGGCGCAGTGAAACGTTTTGAGTTTCGACCCTGTTTTAGGACAGTTCAGCAAGGCCATTGCTCATCTCCAAACAACACTCGCTTTCAGCTGCTTTCAGTGATATGATCCGTTAGAAATCAAATTCTTTGCATTTGCGGTAGTGACAAGGAGATTCCGCCCAGGACGTTTTGTAATACGATTCCCTCTTTTAACGAACCAATGTTCACCAGCTTGTTTGCCAAATTGTCAAAGGGGAGTTGAAGGAAGCTTATCAACTATTTTCTCCTCCTCAAAGGCAGCCTTTTAATTTCTGTCCTGCTTTTTACTGCACAATGTCAGTGATCTAAGCTGAATATTTGCTAGGTTCGTGATGATATAATTATAGTTGTTTTTAATCCGTCGTATTTAAGGTTATTGTCGTGTCGTAGGTCAAATCAATCACACATAATCTCACGGCTGACAGTCACTGTCACAAATTGCAGATTTCGACAGATTTTGGCGCTCCAGGGAGCGCGGCGAAAAAGGCAATTATGACTCTTGGGCCGGACAAAGTCTGGAAACTCCCATTAAATTTTGTCCGCTAGTTCTTGATACACCCCCTCTTACACCTTGAACGTGTGGACGGAAATCCAGGTAAAAAATAAAAGTTTGAGCCAGATTGTACATGATCTCCAGAGATCAAAGTGTCTTGCTTTGATACCGTCTCCTGCTCCAAGAAATTCACTCTCAAAAATCTCTCTACTTGTTTCCGGAGTCCTCGAGTTTGGGTGTAGCAAGGTGTGTACGACCAAATATTTCCTGTTTCCGAGTCTTGTCAGCGTTTCAACTGAATTGATGTTATTACAGCCAGTTAAAAAGAATAAGAAACTCCTTCCGTTTGATAATTCAAAGAATCCTAACTTGGATAAAATCGCGTGCTGCTAAAGAGGAAATAATAATTTTCCTTGCCTTGTTGGTCACGTAAGAAGATTCCCTGATTTTTCTCTCAATCAAGATTGTTATTGACAAAAGACATGTCAATATATTGTTCAGGAAACCTCGAAGCTTCTCTTGCGTTCCAAGGATGAAAGGATGAAACTTTAGGATACTGTTTCGTTAATACAATGAATTATTAACTTGATTTCCTGATTGACTTTGATTGACACTAAGTTTCGCAATTAAGCCACGTGAATAAGTCTGCTCTCAGTTCAGATGTTTAGATTCAAAGTGACCTTCATGTCTTGCTGACCTGTCGCGCTGACCCGTATTCTGTTATACCCTGATCTGTTATATCTGTTGCTGACTTGTATACCGTGAAACAATCCTACTAGACATCGCCACAGAACTTGAAGTAAGTTATCAGTGCTGCAATTCTAGCTAATAGTTTGACTCGTGTGTTTATGTATCGATAGATCCTGTTCAGTTTCTCAAATGTATTTAATTTCTTTTCTCTAGATCGAATAATAATATACTGGAATAAATTATACGATTTGCGTAAGCTAGTTGGATTGCCTGTTTGGTTTATCGAACCAGATACGATTATCAATTGACCCTTCTTCTTTGACCCAATGTAATTTTATTTCCTTTTTCTACCCATGATTTTTGCCCTTGACTGATTTCCCCTTTGACTAGGTTACTGGCAGGACAAGCAGTTCCCTACTTCTCGACGCAAAGCGTGACAGCGAGTGAGGCGAGAAAAGCTGGAGGTCTTGGGGGGGGGAGGGGGGGCTGGGTCCAAGAACAATATATGAGGGCCTCCATGTAGGCTAATATTTTTCCAATCCCCCTCCCCTCCTCAACCTGAGCTGTACACTGCAGATGTCACCATGATAGTCGAACAGGTCTCTTACGAAGCAAAAGAATATCTGTGGAGAATATAATCCGTAACAGAGCTGTCGTCTTCGATTGTATTGCAAAGCATTTAGTCTCAAAAATATATCGTTATCGAGGGCATTGGATGGGTATTATCGCTTCAATCATTTGCTTTTTTTGATATATTTCTCTTTGCTTTCGATATCAAAACTCGTTTTGAGAATAGTCCTAATCTAATGCTTTTTAAAAAGGCGACGGAAGAAGGGAGTGGCAGTGAGAGTAAATACGTGCGGTTTAATGAAGCCTCCCCATTGCGTTTTTTTGTGTGTGTCATTCTTCTTCTCTCTTCAAATTAAGCGATCCAATCACTCAGCTTGTGCTGGAAACGTGTTAAAAAAGGGGACGATTGAAGGTAAAAAACTAATCATACTTGCCATGTATCTTCTTTCGTCAAGTGCCCGGAAAAGGATGCTGAATACGAATATTTTATGAGGTAGCGAAAACGTTGGAAAAACTGATTCCAAGGAAAAAGGGCACGTCGTTAACAACGTGAGTGTGATGTGATTGTGTGTGGTATATGGGTGCGGGTTGATGGACATCCTGATTAAACAGGCAGTGGAGAAGCTCCTGTATGATTGCTCAACTGTTCTCATTAGGGCACTTTATAAATGTGTATCTCAAGTGTAGGCACATGTTAAATATCAACTTTATTCTAATGATACTTGTGATCACTCGACTGAGATATTCTTGAAAAGTATTGTTCTCGGTGATGGCGAATGACACCGCTGACAACGAGAGCGGAAGTTATCATCAGAGTCAGGTCAAGAGACGTTTGTCAACAATCGAATGTTACGAGTATAGTTCGTGAACGCCGATAAGTCAGTTTTATGCCACTGACTGTTAGTCTCAAGTAGGGCAGTTGATTGTAATTGGTTAGTCTCTTCTTGTGATAAGAAAAATAATTTTTTTTTCCTCAGGACTCTCATGTTTCCAATATCAAGAGATGTTTGGAGAAGAAATCTATAGAGCTACGTAAGGCTTCTTTACTTCAATTTTTACTGAAATCATAGAATCGGCAGCGAATTGCGAACAATTTCAGTTTCCATACTAACTTTCATAAAACCTTTTTTTTACGATCTTAAATTTGTCTTTAATTTTCCAATTATTTTTCCACAAAAGACATGTATGTTTAGCCTAGCTGCAACACGTCCATCCTCTTTTACCGACGTTGCGACTCTCACATCGTTTTATAGAATTCTGAATATATTCTTCAATGAAAATGTTGAATTCACTCTCTCATCTGAAATTTTTAGGAAAAGTTTTCTGAATCATCTCTCGTTTAGTGGGTTTCACGATCTTCAGTTAGTGGACAAAGTAGTCTTCCTAAGAACACTGTTTAAAATATGTTTGTCGGTTTGCGCACACTGTCATTCATTTGATACTAAGCTTTCGTTCCTTAATTCTCGCTTAATGAGCTACGGGAAAAAAAATGTTCTTTAAGAATTGATTACAATTATCCCATATCTCAAACCATTGAATACGGACCAAAACTTGAGAGAATTGGCTTTTGCAGCCAAGATTCCTTGCCTGTCAAATACAGAAGCAAACAACTGAAATTTGACCTGCACGCCATTGATTAAAATAGGAGAATCAATAAGCAAATACTCAAAACATGACCTACCCCCAGAGAAAGTGTGCTTCATGTGTTGAGTTAAATCAATTTGAGTGACGAGACAAAGTCTTATCAACATTAGAAGACCTTCTCGATGTTCTCGATTTCACGAAAGCAGCTTAGGCTTAGATAAGCAATGATAAGTAAGATAAATACTCTCGATCTACATCCTGGCTTGCTCGAGACTAGATAACCCCTAAATACCATTTCCTCTATATCTTTTTCACGTGTTTTTTTTTGTTTTTTTTGTTATTTCCCTCTTCTAAACCTTAATGTAGTATAGTTGAATCCATCAGTAATCAAGTTTTGACCAATAATGTTCCAGTGTTTTCCTTCTTAGGGTCCACTGACTACTTTAATGGTTCACAGTTTCGAAAATGGTGGCTGATGCGAAACTCCTTGAGGCAATATAGTGAACTAGTTTAACTTTTGCACAGAATAAACATACTGCAGGAATTGCCACAAGCTCCGCAAGGGTGATTTTAGCAACGTTATCAATATTAAAGTGGGTGACAAACTCAAAAAGTTGGTCAGCGACGTGTCGCCAAAACTAATCAGAATTACAAGCTGGCTCCTAAATATGTTATCATATTACTAGTAATTTAATTAAAAATATTTGAAAATCCAACACAGGAAGATAAATCTTTCAAAGCCTTCATAATCTCAGTTAATCTCATTGATTGATTGACTTGTTTGATAAAAATACGGAATCGTCTGAGGCAGAGCGGGACAGTAAAGAGCACCTTTTTGCCTTATCGCTTTGTAATCAAAGAAGCTGTATTGTTGCCAATTGGAAGAAAACCCCTAAAATAATAATTTGCCAAGGTAGATAAATACCAAAAGGGATCAAGGTTGAGAAGGAATAGCCCTGAATGCAGTTGAAAAACTTACGCAAAGTTTTTAGATATGAGCAAGCTGTGACGTGCTTCTCTGACCTATCAGTGACTGTCAGTTGATGTTCACGCTACAAATGGTTCCTAAAAATTCGCAAAGGATTCGGGGAGTCCGCCATATATCTCACCAGACATCACAAAGAGTACAGAAACAATCCTTTAGTAGTATTTTATGATGAACACAATTTTTTCATACTTTCTTCTTGGAGGAAAACTCTTGGGAAACTTTATATAGTATCTACAAATTCAAACATACAAATAATTTTGCTAGGTGTTCTGAAATAATAAGTGGAGTGGACGAGTGAAACATCGAATAGCACGTTGTGCTAAGAAATTCATCGTTGAAAAAATATCGCTCGCTTATTACAATTAATCGCAGATATTCTGTTTACCTCGATAGAACGGCTATAGCTTCAGACATAACTGTTAAAGTTCCCCGGTGTGCTCTGTTTTCTTTTCCCGTCCTGGCTTTATTCAGTTTGTTTGCTTCATCGCTGTGAATGCCGAGGGTGTTACAGACTTTCAAAGTCTCATTTTGCTATATTACAGTCAGTTACACAGAAAGCGCTTCTTAGGTGACGAATTTTACTTTTCTTACACTTTTCTTCTTCAGTTTCACTTGCTTTTCACCTCTTCATAGCCGCTTTTCATAAAAGTGTCTAAATCAGTTAAGTCTGCTAGAGCTCTTTCAACCATGTTACTTAACAATCCTGGGAATATCTCATTCAGTTTCTTTTTCTTTCGGTCAGCAAGTATAGCCGTATGTGCAATCTCCTTCATATAATTCACAGCAAATGTGCGCCTTTCTTCTGCTTCCTACCAAATAAAACAAGAAATATTTGGAAATGTTACTTCGAGTAAAAAAGTCAGCTTTCGTCGTTGGGCCAACTTTTATTCAATTGGGCGGAATTTCAAGTTGGGTACGTTCAAATAAGATCAAATATGTTGAGTGTACCAACAAATGAAGCATGTTAAACGACAGATGCTATGGTGCACATCCTGAAAATATACAAGAACTTGCCTAAAAGGAAATTTAGACGAGAGCTGGAGTCGACGCCCGAATACTGAGAAATCCTTTGGTCACTGACTCAGGCAATGTTTTGACAATTTATACAGTTCAACTATCAGAAGGAGGAATGAAGATCTTCAAACTCCATACTCGATTTCAGTAATAGAACGTTTTATATTTAGTATCGTAAAGCTGACCCATTAGAAAATGACGAAAACAATAAAGACAGCTGACGTCTTATGTGATCTTTTACTGAACAGGCGCACGGCAACATGGAATCGATTTGTTTTATACATGATTGGCTGAATTGTACAAGTATTTTGATTGGTTCTTACTTATGATCTATTGGAGGACAGACGCTTGTAAAACAGAGAGATTCCATGTTGCCGTGGGTCTGTACAGTCATAAATCACAGAAAACGTCAGTATATGAGTGACACACTCGGCTGCGCCGCGTGTGCCACCTTATTGTCGTCACCATACATTTTGGCGTCATCTGGGATCTATTACTGAACAAGCACTCTACAACATGGAATCTACTTGTTAAATATCAGAAACATGCAAAATGTTGTTGATGGTGACGTCATCTATGCGTCTGTCCTCCAATGGATCATGAGTAACAACCAATCAAAATGTAAGTCCTTAAATACGCAGCACAGGCGTAGGAGTGAACAGATCTTTTGGCATTAAATTCCTCAAATCCTTACTCAGCATTCAAGCAAGAAATGGCGAGGGTGCCAATTGCAAAGGAGCTTAATTTGTTTTGCGAGAAAGCGCTTATTCTGAGAATTACAGTCGACGATATAAGAAGTTTACTTAAATTATGTATTTACATTTACCTGGCCGTGAGTATTTTGTGAATCAGCCGGCCAGTACTGCAGTCCTGCCCGGCTGACAGATTCGTTCGAAGGCGCCCTGTGTGATAAACAAAAGACGACAAAACTTAGTATTTTATAATGCTTAGCCTCACAATCAAAAACTTATTGATGTGATTATTATCACCGTTCGTGTTTTCCTTCGGGTTTCTTTTTATCAGCGTCAAGCACTTGCTTCCGTCTGTAATGATCAAATAATTGAGGTGATTGAAATATCTAGTGCATAAAAAGCGTAAATGGAACGAGAGAAAATTATGAAATGATTCACACAGTTATGACACCAAAACTGCAAACTGAAAAATAGTCAGAGTCCAGTTGCATGGAACTAGATTACCTATAGTTCAGGGTAAACGGCATACAAAAACAATTATTTTCCATGGTAGTCATATGTCGGTCCCCAGTTCATATTTCTTTCAATGACGGAATGAAATGGCCAGAGAATATAAAGAGCGTTTCTCTGTGGGACGGAATTCTAATAGTCAGCAAAGGGTCGAAACCAACCGAATTGCGAAGTGTACAGTGGCAAAACTGACCTTGAATCCCCTAGCATGGTAAGAAGCCTGGATTGAGGCAGCTGTGATGTGGTAATATGAGCCAAGGTCCCAAACAGTTTCTCCGCATTGACATTATCTTCAGCTGTGACCTGGCAAGGAGCAAGAAAACAACTTTAATAACAGGACAAGCAAGAACATTTGTCACGATTCTTTTGTATCATAATTGCCACGGAAAAAACTTGAATAAAAGGAAAAGTGAAGACAATTGCATACGCATGTCCAAGAGACTGATGATTGGGCTCCAAGCAGTCTTTTAGTTTTCTTTTCCACAAAGCCGAGCTCAAATCAAGAATCATTAGCGGAGTGCGTTTTCCTAACCCGCCTTACCACCGCTCAGTCGTACAGTATTGGCTGATAATTATTATTAATTCATTTGTTGTAAAGTATGAAATTAGTTTGTCTGTGTTTAACAGTTAGTTAGTCTTTGAATTCTAAGTTTGAACTGTTATTTGAGTTTGAGCTATCTACTGAAACTGATTTTTCATCACCACTTTAGAACCTAACATCAGTATGCATATTCTCCATACTTTCCTCTAAACGATCCTAAGGTGCTTACAAGGAGACTTTGTTTAACAATCAAGATCTTTTTTTGGTGATCATTTCCTTTGTTCTCGTGACCTTAATGTGTGATTCAGGGTTGATACTGACGAGAAAATTAGATGCTGGCCACTCACAGGGGAGGGGGGGGGGGTAAAGAGTTAACACGGTTGAGCGAGAATCCACCAACCACTAACCTCAATATCATTGATCTTTCTGAGAGAGAAATGTGCCAGACGGAACAACACAAAAGGTTTCCACAGAGTGAACGATGTTATGGGATTTCCCTCAATACTGATGGAGATGTGTTCAAGTCTTCTTAACAGGGATAAACAATTGATTTGCTGCAGACTTTTAATGTTAGTTTCTGTAAAAATAAGACCCTACCAAAACGAAAATAAGAAATACCGATCTGGTTAGTGGCTTGGCTCTGTTTAGGGACTTCTAGTTATATGCTCTCACATCATCCAATATGCAAACTTTCATTACTTTACGACGATAAAAGTTCTAAAACTCCTGAAAAGTGTAATGCTCCTGAAAGGTAAACTCCTCCGTCCTCCTTGTGTAGTGGTTTTATTGCAACAAGAGTTACACGATTTCGAATAAATTTGCACGAGTCACAAAAGATTTTAAAAAGATTATAACAAATCTTACTACATTTCTTGCAAAGTCCTCCAACGACTAGTGTAAACTCCCAAAGAATGCTGATTTTCTAATGTTTTTTTATTATTATTATTATTATTATTATTATTATTATTATTATTATTATTATTATTATTATTATTTCCCGCACGATTCAGTTGCAAAGCAATGTTGGTCTTCTGTTGTCGCATTTTCAAAGCTTACAACACTTGCCTCGCAAAGACTAAACAGATAGGTGAGAAGAACTACAAGAACTGCTTAGTGTAACAGAGGAAAGAATCGGGGAAGTGTTCTTATACCACATCATGCAAAGATGATACAACAACTCTAAATAGCTCAGAACTATTTCGATTCTAATCCGAACTATGACGTCTTTCATTCCATTAACAAATTCAATATTTCATGGACCCATTAAATCTTTCCTTGAAGTACTCACCACTAGGGAGGGAAAGCGGGCCCTGATCTTGTACAGTTGGGGAACGATGTTGTCAAAATTGATAAATTTAAAGGAGATCGCACTGACAGCTTGTACAGCCTGGCTACCCCAGTGACGATCCAGCGCGTCTAGGGAGCCTGGGCCATACAAGAACAAAGTGTCACTATCCAGCTCGGCCAAGTGGCAAATACTCAGAGGGGAGGGGACAGCATCTCTGGATAAAACAAAGTGATATTTTGTTATTGTGAAAAGATAATCACAATATCTGTATACCAATGAATATCACATTTGAGTATAATAATGAGTATCTTCATCTCTGTATACCAATGAATAACACATTTGTAAACTGTACTTTCATGATATACACTGCATCACGTTTCTCCGCTTTACACTCGCATATGGTGACTCGTGGGATATTCCATGGCATACATGTATCACTCGAAAGTGTCCCATAACTAGTGTATCTTTTAAAATAAATAAGAGATAAAGTAGACAGAAACTTCCACCTCCTATTACTCCACCAAATCTTCATTCTGCCGTTTCCTACTGCTAGTTAATAAGGAAGGTACTGAGTGATAACATTAGCCAAGAAACTTAAAAAATAATTGCGGTTCGTATTGACCACAAAATACACGAGATTCCTTCAAGATGTTATCAGGATCAAAAGGCGATCCGAGGGCAATAAAGTATACGGCAACCGCTTTTCTGTACCACTCAAACAGATACGTCAACAACAAAAAAAGTTGTATCTGTACTTACTCTGTAGAATCAGGAAGCCCATTCCGAGAGATCTGAGGCAGAATTTCTAAGTTATCTCTTGAAGGCAAAGAGTCTGGCTTACTACTGCTATAAGAAAAACAGAACTTTGTTGTTCACATGTATTTTGAATACGGAGATGGTATCCAAGAAAATCTTACTTATTCCTTTACATCTGGACAAACTTGAACCTCGTAATCTTACTACTGATAAATGTGTTTGCATTTTGTCATAGCCTTTAAGTGTTTTGTTGATTTAAAACTTCCAAATGCCAGCGTTTTCAATTATCTAAAGCCCAGATTAATCGAAGAAAAATAGGTTCTCCTGTAATTAAACAAATCATGCTATCCTCGATAAGCTGCTGAACTGCATTACAGCACCACAGTGACCACATCATGGTATTTGGAGCCTGAGTCATAATCATTCACCAAGCGTTTAGCGCTTGAAATATCATCTCCTCTGCAGACCAATCTGATCGACATGAAGTTTGTCCTGAGAGAAAGGCATATCGGACGAACATTCTTCCTGAGTGAGAATAGACCTACACTTCACCGTTTCAAGATTGCAAAGGTTAAGCAGGTATACTGCGGCACTTACACTTCTTTGATGCGAGTCACCTCCCACTGCCGCTGCGCATTGTTAATAGCAATGCGACGCTTCTCCTGAAAGAGCACATACACAAACACAAATTCAATTCAAACGTAAACAAATGTACTGCACACCAGCAGCTCATAGGTAACTTGCCTTCAGTACCGCTAATTTATTGATTTCCTTCTTTTTCTCTTCTTCTTTTCTGGCCATAACTGAGGCAATTCTCTTTTCCTCGTCCTGAGTGAATCAAAAGCATATTTACTCATTATCTAATTGTATATTTAACAATTATTCCACGAGAGCGCGTTGGATATGAGATGATAGATAGCCAACGAGGCGCGTAGCGCCGACTTGGCTATAATCATCTCATATCCAACAAGCGCGAGTGGAATAGTTGTTTTATTAAAAAAGACGCCCCCAAGATATTAAACTAATCTTCTCGACTTTATTTTGTAAGAAGAAACCGGATGTTACAATGTACAGATATTAGATTATGGTATATTGACTGATATACCGCCTCCCGGTTAGCTCAATTGGTTAGAGCGCTGGACTGTTGTGCGGGAGGTCGAGCTCGATGGTTCGAGCCCCGGCCGGACCAACACTCAAGGTCTTAAAATAACTGAGGAGAATGCGCTACCTTCCTTTACTAAGAAATGGATAGATATTCTAGTCTTCTCGGATAAGGACGAATAAACCATAGGTCCCGTCTCCTGCATCTAATAATTCGATAATTTGATTAGACAGGGGACGTTAAAGAACCCACTCACGAGATTACTGTGACGTGGTCTGGCCTGTTTACTGGGAATTGGGGGGAGGGGGCATCTTCAAATAAGTTTCCTTCGATTGTTTGTAAACTGCTGATGCTGTCTGGCCAAAGTCCCCCGAACAGTGTTGTGCTGCGCATTTGATCGTATCGACATGTTAATTTGCGTAATATAAATATTAAATTATTATTATTATTATTATTATTATTATNCAATGAAATACCAGGATTTTTCCTTTTACTAAGAAATCATATCTTCATCGCACGCAGTGAAGATACTATTTTCATCTTTAACGTGTGAGGATATTGGTGTTGTTATGGTTACTAACATAGTCAGCCATTTATGATTATTTTCATCTTTATTTTTTTCTTTTCTTCATTAGAATTTAGACTTTTTGGAACAGAAAATATTAGTATTAGTCTTTATTTCTCCTTTATAACTTTATATCCGAGTTTTAAAAAATTTTTGTAACAGACATTTTGCGATAGGTGACCACTTTAATTGCACTATTTTGCTGTTTTGAAAATGAATAAAAGAAAGTTGCGTTTTATGTGGAAATTTCATCAGTATCTATAAAATAAACAGAACATTACATGGCCACTTGGGGATACAAATTTTATCTTCTCGTGCTAAAAGTATCTCTCACTCGTTCGCTTTGTTCACTCATGAGAGATACTTACAGCACGAGAAGATAAAATTTGTATTCCCACGTGACCATGTAATATCCTCTATATCTTCCAGATCATCAATCTTGTGAGTCCAGCCATCCAGCACCGTTCAAGTACATGTATGGTTACTCTCAACCCACCATCGTGAAAACAAGCACAACAAGCATTAGTTAATTGCTTTCACTCAAACTCATCAATCCACTAGACACATAAATGAGAATTCTTGCTACTTAACAATTATCCATGGAATTGGAGGTAAATGTCTTCTACTTTCCCCAACACAGAAGTGATTAACTGTTTAGTATATGCAACACAGAAACCAATGCAACATGTTTCTGCCAATATTCTGAAAAATGGGCAGAAGTCAAACTCTTGACACAAAATTTATTTTTTTATTTTGTCTCATCGGCTGTTCCTACTTCTTAATCACTTCTGAGCAAGCTGATAAGCACACCCAAAAAGTACAATTCATCAGCAGGGTATATACATGTACATAATACTAAGCCTAAGTATCCTTCTCATCTTTTGTCTGTAAGGTACCTACTCTGTACGAATCCATGGCGATTGATAGTACCTGCAAAACACAATATAAACAAAATTCTTACTGATATTCTTTTCATGTCCAACTGCCGCAAGCTTGAAAGATTTCTGAGAACACTCTGCTTGTAGGTGGAGTGAGTGGCAAAGGGGTTTCCATCCATGGACAACTCATTTAAAGACAAGGAGTTTGACAAGCACTGAATGTCATCAAAGCTGAATAATAATAAAAATAATAATGTTAATAACAAAAAGAGTAATAAAAAAAATTCTACTATAATAGCAAAATAATATACCTAAGGAGCAGAAAAGCAGAAACTTTACTCAACCTAATTGAAATGTCTGTGAGAAGAGTATTTTAATTGATGCTTTTGATATGCTGAGTGTGGCAATGAATTAAAGAAAAAAAAACTTAAGAGACTGTCATGTTATGGGTGAAATCACTTGCAAAAACAAACAAAGTAGCAAACATCTCTACATCTGAGAGACCAGGGAAACACCAAAGAATTGAGTTTTCATTAGAGAAGAGAATTGAGTTAATAAAATGTGCGGAATCAGTGCCTAAACCAACACTGAAGGCTCTAAGCAGTAAATTTGGGATCAGTAAATCAACTGTAGGTGATATTTTAAAGAAGAAAGAAGTCTACAAATGAATTAAAGTGGCAATCATATTACCCTGCATTTAATACTGAATTTTTTTGTATATTAAATAAAATGATGTTGAAAACCTTTTTTGTGATCCATGCTGTTAGTTCCTTTACAGATGTGCTTTATTAGTCCTCATGTACCATGTACTGATACTTACAGTCAGACAATACATTATACTGCATAAAATTGCCTAATGGGTAAAACCTCACCACACCAGACACCCCTCTACACTGGACACCCCTTTAAACTGGAAATTTCCTCCAGTCCCAAGGGTGGTTTTGAGGGGTTCCACTGTATGAAGGAAATTCAAATATCACATCTGAGTGTGTTTTGTTTAATTGCCACATTGTTCAAAGTAACATTCCCCTGAAGTGTTCTTATTTTGCCAAGTGTCCATACCTTGTGATGCAATTAAAACTGAGAAATAATCTCTGAAGATTTGGCAGCAAATCAACTTCTTCCTAGAAATCAGTGGAACAAAGTGAAAAATTTAAACCCAATTTTAAAAGCAGACTGATGTAAAACTTGTTTTTCCTTTGTATCATAAAGATCAGACAAGGCCTGTGTACTTTTAAATCATAAAAAAAAAAACCATTATAAAGATGCTGGTAGTGCAATAAAATTTACAGTGTAACCTCCATTAAATAACCAAACAAAATGTTAAGCACAGGAACTTGGTCATACTGGAGTAGTTGTCAGACCAACTGGGGCTAAATTTTGAGTCATGGCCCTCAGTTGTTTTGTGTTGCATCCCATGCACAAATACATCAACTGACTCAGAATGCATTCTTAAGCTGTGTCATGACTGTTATTCAGCAATGACAAAAGAACAACTGTTAAATCAGGCTTATATTAAAATGTCTAAAAGTCTCCACCAATAAAATTCCTAATGGTCATGCTTCCCTAAAAGAAACGATTCTTTCTGGGAGATTCTATCCATGGCAAATTTATATGCCAACTTTTCACAATTTGTTAGAGTGGTGCCCACAGGAGGTGTTTGCTTTTGTTAGATAACTGTATGGGAGGTTTAAACTCTTCAAAGAAAGGGCCAGATAAAATCATGGGCATTTGTGCACTTACCACAGTGCAAATTTTGTTCCTCCTCAAGTTGAGCTCAGCCAGTGCCCTCATTCCACTAACATTACTCACATGAACAATTTCATTTCCAGCCAAGTTAAGAACTCGCAATTCAGTGAGATGTCCAAGATTCTCAATCTTAATTATCTGAGAGTTAATGGAAAAAAGTTTCAGCTGTAAAAAAATTGATTTGGTGTTATTCTGTTAACAAAAGGAAAGTAGAGTAGAGCATAATATAGTCATGTCTGACCTTTCAATTGGTTGAGCAATAGCCATTCTTTAGCATTTCACAGACTTGAAACAAACAGTTGTGGTTTGCAAGCCTTCTAAGTTTGTCGGGGCATGCAATTTTCAAATACTTTAGGTGTTCTACAAACCAAACTGTTCTGGACAATCCTATCCACTCTTTCCCACTCTGTGTGATGCTCTTAGGCTTAGTTCTGGTATTATGTGCTACCTAACTTGTATGCATACTTTACATTAGTGATGTCAACAAACCCTTCTTTTTTGTTTTAGTTTTTAATAATTTTTTCAACCAAAATTGGATTACTTAGGTTATCATGTATGTACTCACAAACTAAATATTAATACTATTTTCTGATAATAGACACACTCATGGGAAAAAAAAATTGTCAAAAATTGTCACAAGCAATGTGGCTAAATAAGTCCATGGTAAGTTCTGAGGTAAACATCTCCATAATTGCCATTAACAACATGGGTTACTGGCTTAAAACCTACTTTGTTGCCATGAAGATCCAAAACATCAAGCTTTGTGAGAGAATCCAAGTTACTGATATTCCTGATCCTGTTGTTTAAAACAACTGAAAAGTCAAGGGTCACTGGAAATACGCAACTTGCTATGTACTTCCCATGCTTGTAGAACACAGAAAAAATATGGAGAAATGATCCCCACAATCTTTGATTTTTTCCCCCTCTTTTCAGAGAATTTTTTTCCAGCAACAAACTTCAAAGCCCACAATATTATTTTTGGTCATCAAGCACACTTATGTTTCTTTTTTAATAATAATAAATCCGTTATTCCATAGTTTAGCATATAATACGAGCTGACATTTTGCTCATTGCTCATTCTGGTCATTGCTCATCAGAAACATTTTACACAACTTGTGAGTTAGATACGCGTATTACATGTCAAACCATCAAATGAGGTATATGATACAATTTTCTAGTAGTTTTTCTTTGCAAAATCATTACATTGCTGTATATGTTCCTTTGTTTACCAACCTGTTTTTTCCCAGCATGAGTACTCTGAGTGATCGCAGAGCAGAGAGACCTGATATCTCTTCAATCTGGTTATCATAGAAATCCAAGAAGATCAGCCTCTTCAGGTTTTCCAGATGAGAGATTCTACTGATTAGATTGTGCTGAAAGTTGAGAAGCCTCAGTTAGTCTTCACCTTCCAGAATTGGGCAGATTGTTAACCTCCTCCTAGCAGGGAAAATTGTGAAAAATATTTTTTTTGATCCAGATATACCTTGGGGGTAAATCTTGTAAGTATTGCATTCCCTATTAGACATACCAACACACAGTTCACAGCCTTCTTGCCGACTTAAAGTTTTCTGCTGTAATAAAGGTTTTAGAAAGGCTAATGGGTGAGTAACCAGGGGGTGAGTAACCAGGGTGTGAGTAACCAGGGTGATTCATTTATCATAAGTTAATGATTCTGTACTGTACCATACCTGTCAAGGTTGAGCCTGTCAGGATTTGCCTGCCTTTCCTCAGGAAGTCGGTAAACAATAGGTACACCAGGAAATGTGGGTGACTCAGCAAATATAACTCTGTCTCCTAAAGGGAAAAGAATCTGGGAGGATGAATGTCACAAAATGGATACTAATTTTTTGGTTCCTTATAATTTCAAATTTTAAATAAATTCTCCAAAAGGTAAATAAGCCTTAGTCCTTTTTTTATTCAGCAAGTGTGATGGGTATCACATATTTTGCATTGACATGGAGCACTAAATCCTCTTCTCCTTAATTTGATGGAAGAATAACTTCTTATCTATTACAAAATCATGGTCTCATTACCAGAAGCTTTCAAGACTGCTGGTTACTGTAGCTAAAGAGTTTCTAAAGATAATGTAAGACATATAAAAAGTGCACTTTTATAACAATTCCAGATATTTCAATTATTGCATGCTTTGTTTGCATATTTACAATTCGCACCTGGTAAAAACACCTGTGTTTTATTTCTGGATTGAGAATGTGATCCTGCACTTAAAGTTTGTCGTCCTTGTAGACTATCATCATGTGAACCTTCCTGAGTTATTTGACTCATGGCCACTGCTCCTGTTATAGCGGTAGAATGGTCTGCAACAAAGGCTGGTGCTGGCTGCAACACCTGACGTTGTACCTTATGGAGTTCTCTGAAAGATGTTGTGGCATAATGCTGTTTTGTGTCTGGTACTGGATCAATACTTGAATGAGAATACTCTGAAAGAAGTGTAGTAATGAATTGGTATAAAATGAAACACCATCCTGATGGAGTTAGGCTAAATGTCCAATACATTTGTTTTTCAAAGCACAAATCAACTACATGTAGGGACCAGTGTTGCTAAACCATCTTGCTAAATTAAACCACTCAATTTTATATTGCAAAATTATATTTTAATGGAAAACATTTGAATTACTTACGTAAAATAGATGGAGGATGTTCAATATCTTGAGGAGGTGACATGGTGTGCCGATACTTTGTTCCATTCTCAATCCTTGTGTTTGATGCTGGTCTGGTTAAAGATCCAGATTCCCGACTGTAAGGGTTTTGTTTCCACTCTGGAACCCCCTATAATTTTAAGATATTGTGAAACATTACCATTACATCTGGCAATGTTGTTTTCCTAATGGTACTCACATCTACAATTAACATGCAGCAATAAATGAGGGAATCAGAAAATGAAAAGTTATGGCAAGAAGATACTTTGTAAATTTGGTAAAATGATAGGCAGTTTTTCTTATCAGGTCAATGAAGAAATATTTCAGTCATCTTTAATCTTAGATGAAATTGAAATAATCCAACAATCAGGATCCTTTGCTATTTAACCACGGCATCTAAAAGAAAATGTCAAAATACCAGATGTTTCCATATTGGCACAACTTTTATCCTTACGACAACAAAATGAGCTGAGTGAAGTTTAAGCTTTCAAATATTTAAAATATCTGCACTCGCCTGCTTGCCTGGAGGTCTTTCAATAACTGGAGTTGCTTGAGCCTGCAAACTGTATTGCAAGCCGAAATTTGCACCCTGATATGAATAGCGGAACAAAAAATCTTGCAGTAAACGTACAGAATTCAGGATTACAGAATATTTTGTTAATCATCACTTAGCATGACCTTTCTGCGATTGATGTAAACTGAACTTACATCCCTAGCAACCACCCGTCCTGTCTTGGCCGCTCTACTTGGATGATGGTACATCTCCTCTCACGAAAGCAAACCAGATTTCCGGCACCGACGAGCCAGTTAAGTCAATCATTTTCTCTAGCCATTAGAAGATTTCCCTGATTCGAGGTACGATTCTAAGTTTTCTGATTCAAATCCTTCAACAGCCTTTTGGCTACCTCCGCCATATTGGATTTTAGGTAACTACTTAATGTAACTATCATAAGGTGGTTTGATCTATTCCAAGGTCCAACGTAACCCGGAAGGGGCTGGCTGCTATGACAAAAGGGTTAGCATTCTTGAACAAGAATTTAGGGTTCTTGCACAAGAATTTTAAGTGTCGACAAAGCAACTTTCTTTAAAAGTCATATAGATTTTTTTAAATTAGGATGGTGATGGATTTGGAGAAGAAAAAAGTGAAAGAAGATGTTATCCAGTGAATGGCACAGCGGGTACAGCCATAATCGAACACGCACGAGAAAAATTCAGACTGCGCCTTATAGGAATCAAACTCACGACCATACGACCAATAAAGTACTTCGGACGCTCGCACTGACCAGTAGGAGACTCATGGCAAGCTAGACCGTTTTACTAACTCTATGGTGACAAAGTTCTTGCGTACTGCAAGGATATGTATTTATCATAGGTTTGTCTGGGGTGGACGGTCTTTCATTGCATGGTTTGATGTTACAATTGCTTCATTAGCGGTAGGATTATATTACTGTGTGGTGGATGTCCTCCCCTGGGGTGGGATGGATGGGAAGATAGCAGGTCCACATCAGCTTATAGCTGCCATAATTCAACTTGCTCAAACAAATAAAGGAGACAAGACGGATATATATAGTCGAGTTGTTGTCATTTATATTCATTCGCGTCGTACGACCATCCTTACGCCCTCCAAATTAAATACCTTTTGACCAGGGGTTATCAGTTTCTCTTAGACGTAGTTTTTGCATGCTGCTATCTGAAAGGATTATACACGTTTACAGAATCATCGTTATACGAACATAGTTTAGATTGTTTGTAGGGTGGTTTTTTTCGCTTTTTCTTTTTTAATTTTCTTATTTACATTTCCGAGTTTTCATTCGTTTTTTTTGTATCATTCCTATCCATTTTGTTGATGAAGGTATAATAAAGAGGGTCGCACACGGCTCTTGTTGACGCACCCCACTTGTACTGGGGGTATCTATATCTATAAACCGATGGCTACCGGCTGAAGACCAACACTCCGCCGGGAGAGCGAAGACCTAAGACCCACAACCGAACTGAATACGCCCTACTCTTTATTTATAGACCTCCTTTTTAGAATAAGTTGTGATCAAACTATAAAATGAAAACCTATTCGCCAACTGTCGGTTTGTAGGTATTTTCGCAGAAAATCTGTATTCTTTGTTTAGTAATTGTCTTTTTGAAGCGTCATAAAACGGCAAGGTTAAGAGTCGACAAGAACTTTTTCAATCAGTTATATCATTATACATGTCCCGGCCACTGGGAATTCACAACGACTCGAGGAATGTTTTGAGTCGATTTCGTTTAAATCTGCGTGATTTTTCCACAAGTTATATAGTTATTAATACAATTAAATTTTTCAATTGTTATTTTAAACCCCTTGCTTCCAGCTACCACAAAATGTACAGTAAACCAATGAAATGACGCGTATGATTAATGCCTATCTTTTAAACAAGTACGGTGACCTACCTTTTCTATCTTATTTTTCGAAACAGTTATTGACAGGGAACATTTAAGGAAAGCTTAAAAAATTGTTCGACAACTCTTTTTTCCTGAAGAATCACCTTAAGCGGTCATCCACGAGGAATTGTTAGGTGTCCACTGAATACATGTTGACCGCTTGATACGGTGCCGCTCACTTTTATGTAGAGGTTTTACTGTCCATTATTTTCGAGTAAAGAAGCGAGAAGGCTCTGGGAACGAGCTTGTTCTGGAGTGACTTAGGTGAAACGTCACTAGTTCCATTCCCATTTGCTTGTATGCTATTTTGAGGCTGTATGATGCTGTAATATGCTAAATAAACTTGTGATGTGGTTCTTATTTCCGGTATTCTAGTTATTCGCCATGAGTTGTGCAAAGGCTTTCCTTTTTTTCTTCAACTTCATCTACTTGGTAAGTATTGTGATGAAAAACTAGAAGCAGTGGCTAAACTTCAGAGTACCTAATATGCGTCTTTGAATAGCTGCTCCCACACATCCGTAGTCGCCAAATTAAATATAACCCACACATTCAAATAATACATTCTTCGTTCTTCAGTAAACCGTGTCGGGAGGCTGTGAAGAACGAAGCGGAACACAGTAGAGGCTATTCTTATTCAATGACATGTAAATGAGTGGCCGGGTATTCTGCAGTCTAGCCATAATAAAAGTACATCAAAATCAGCTCAATAATGTAGAAAATTATCGTTTTGTGGGGCATCGTTCGTGGAGATTCCGCTTGAAAGTCTAAATTACATTGCTTCACACTTTTTGGGGTGAGGGACTAAGTTGTTCTTTGAACTCCGATCTTCTAATTTCTTCGGTGCGTTATTGAGTGTGTTGGTAATGGAGATCCACTGACTCACCCATACAATAGATGGTTGTGTCATCGGCATACATGTTGAGAGGTGCAGAACTAACAGCCTCGGATAAATAGCTAAGTATATAGGGGAAAAAGTGTTGGTCCCAACACGGAGCCTTGAGGGGCGCTGGAGGTAACATAAGCTAGGTCAGAGTTCTCCATTTACTATGGTGCATTGTTTGCTTAGTACATTTAAAATAGACAATAGGCGATAATTTCCTCTATCTGATTTGTTGTAATTCCTAATTGTGAGATTTAATCTGGCCACCTTCCAGTCAGATATAGGTTAGTCAGTCACACAGCAATAGATTAAGTCTCTTTATGACTTCACCATATGATAATTATGCATGGGACAGGCTTAGTGTTAATGGTAATTAGTGTCTGTTGCTGCAACTTAATGGCTATAGTTTAATTCTGAGGGTGGTGAAGAAAAAATTTAGTAAGTCGTCTTTCTCTGTATGGTCAACAGCAAGGGACTCATCGTCATGATTGGTTTTTGAGCTTTGTGATTGTTCTAGAAAGTAGGTTCCTGTAGGTGGAGGTACTAAGCATAATTATTAAGACCTTCATGATCATCAACCATTCATTAGGCTTATCAAATTGAAATTCTTCTCAGACTGCTTACACTTAGTGAGAGGGAACTGAAATTTTTATGATATATTTTTTTGTTCCTCGCACTCTTTCTGCTCTCCAGTTTGACTGGTCAAGAAGATCATGAAAATACAACCTGTCACAGGCACTGAGGCGTAGTTCCTGCTCAGTGAGTCATAAACATTAGCTCTATGTAATTTTTTTTCTCTTTGCGGGGATCAAAGCAAGGAATGCTCAGCAGACAATCCCAAGCAGGCAAGGTGGGCCCATCTCTCGGGTAGCCAACCAGAACACAAAATTGGCTTTGTATTTCCCACAGGTTCTCATTTAAAATATTGCTGTTCTTACCATTTCAAGTGTGTATCATTAAGCTACAAGTCAGCTATACCTTGATTTTAATTACTGTTTATCTTAGTAATGAAATACTGATGCCTAACATTCTGTCAGTATACCACTGGTAATTAATTGTTTTAGTCTTGACATGTAGTAGTTGATGTGATATATCAAGCAACTATAGACCAAATTGAATCAATGTGTATATCAATCAAGCAACAAACATTTTCACATATATATTGACAGAAGATGCCCATGGAACCAGACATCTACACAAAATTGTAATTAGGACAGAAAACAATTCAATTTCATAGGGACAAGCACAAATGTTCAGCGGAACATTTTTTTTCATTTTCTTTTGTGATTAAATTACAAGTTTTCTTAAAACATTCTCTTAACGAAGACACTGAGAGATTTTTCTGGTTGCTGTTGTCATGACCCATATCTACAAGGCTTGTACAGAGCATGGAAATTTAAAAGTATTCTTTTTAAGGTCTTAAAAGTCATGGAAAATTACTATTAATAAATGATATTCATAAAGCAACAGAGCAAAACACAATGTGCTCATATGCATTATGCATGTGCAGATAATTTTCACCACACTGTGAAACAAAAGTATTGATTGCAAGTCATGGAAAACAACAAAAAAAATTAATGTCCTTGGAATGGTCATGGACAGTCATGGAATTTCGTGATTAAGTTAAAAAAGAGTACAAACCATGCATATCATAGGCTTGGTTAATAATTAAAGTACATGAGTATTTTGACCTGCATTGCAATATTTATCAGGGTGTAGCTGGTGCTATCATTTATGTTGCCGTATGGCTAATTAAAAAGTTTGGAGACATCACAAAGGTTACAACTGATGAGTACACTCTGGTACCGTGTGGAATCCTAGTTGGAGTGGGTGTCCTGATCTTTATAACTGCCTTGTTTGGTTGCTGTGGAATATGCCGTGATAACAAGTGCTGTCTGTCCATGGTAAGCCACCTTGATTGACTAAACATGTCATCAAACTGTATTTATTACAAAACAGAAATAATTATTTTGATAACAAGTACCGTAATTTCCGGCCAATTACCTGCATGGCAGATTACCTGCACCGGCCAATTGCTTACGGCGAAAAAAAAGTCAACAGATTACCCGCACTAGTGGATAACCCGCACCTTATGTTTAGCGCCATGTTGACTTGTTGAACGAAAGTTTAAAGGCCAAAGAAATTCAGACACGTGTACAATTCTGTGTCTATATCAGCATGTATTTTATTGTTAAAATGATACAGTAAAAACACAAACATTTTGTGTGAGCGATCGTTCAGCACCATGTTAGACTTGTTGAAAGAAAGTTTAAAGGTCAAAGAAATTCAGATGCGTGTTCAATTGTGTCTATATTAGCATGTACTTTATTGTTAAAATGATACAGGTAAAAACACTAACATTTTGTGCTAGCGATCGTTCAGCGCCATGAATTTAGTTGAGTTTCACACCTATTATTTTCAATATTCTATTGATACATGTGGGCTTTCCAACTGCTGTCAGCGATTTCTTTAAAAAAACGGTATCTCCGGTTCTACTGGACCTAAAAAGTCCCTTAAAACGGGAAAATTCTCCTCAGCTCAAGCTAGTGTTAACTGGAAATTTGTTACTGATGTGCCGGATTTTCTTGGATTATTTTTGTTGCCATGAAGGTTTTGTTTGCATGCGTGCCGATAAAAATTTGTTCACATGCAACTAATTATGTATGAAATAAACTTGATTCAACAACCAGCAGCTATTAAAATTGTCACATAACCCACACCTCCCTATTGCCCACAGTGGCGCGTGTTTAGTGCAAAATCAATGGGTGTGGACAAAACATGGCCTAGGCCATGGCCTAACCTGTGGCCTACCCTATAGCTTACCCTATGGCCTACCCTGTGGCCTACCCTGTGGCCAACCCTGTGGCCTACCCTGTGGACTACCCTATGGCCTACCAGTGGTCAGATTCTTAAAAGGATAGCATTGCTGGAAACCTTTCAATGTTTTCCTGAGCACTGTCTTACCAACACCTTTCTTCTGCTGTTTTGGCAGCCACATTCCAATCAAAATTTCTTAACCTTCTGATAGAATAAGGAAATCGAGGAACAGAAGCTGGTTAAATGCAACTTTTGGGCAAACATCATATCAGCTCTCCTTTCAAATTAGTGCAATACTGGCCCTTTCTTTGGAAGAGCAAGTAAAGTTTGCAAAATGTTTATGGCAGCGATGTATGCATGTCTTGGGGCGCTTGTTGCAAGTTCAATATTCTGCAGCACTTGAGGGCACTAAAAAAATTGGCCTGGCACGCAATGTTTGCGTTTTCTTACCTGGATATGTATGCTCTCCGATATAACGCTGTTCATTACATTTTTACACCTGCACTCCACTATTATGTTACCAACTGACAGCCTGCATCCTAAAGCCGCCATTTTGCATATCCTCTGCAACCACGTAATATTGGCCCCTCCTCTCCCCTCCCTCTTAACCTACCATTATGGTTGAGTGCTGTGATATTTGCAGTGTTTCGTTCCCTCGGACGTTGAAAATCGTGTTAGCGACCTCATAGTATACCCTTTTCAGAGACAGATAATTGTACACCAGCATATTTGTTCAACTCTTACTGGTTTTATTTTTATGTTCTTAAAAATCTGACCACCGGTAGGCCATAGGGTAGGCCACAGGGTAGGCCATGGCCTAGGCCAGGTTTTGTCCACACCCAAAATCAACAGATTACTCGCGGGTAATCGGCTGGAAATTATGGTATTCAATTTTGATGAAGGGAGATGCTAAATTTCTGCCACGTGTGCAATATAATAGATTTGTGGAATTTTAACATGGATTGTATCACAGACTTTCTACTGTCGGTTGCATTCAGATACCCTACCAACTGAATTAGAGAGAACATTTTATGTACTCCACACATGGTCCCTTTATTCCTGGCTGGGAATATTTACTTTACATGACAGTCTTTCATTGATCAAGAAGTTTTTGAGTTGAATTTACAACTTAGCTATTGTTTTGGAGACCATTAGGTAAAATATGCAGAGTGTATTAAAACATAAAATCCAGTTTCAAGAAAGTATTATTTAGAAACATGAGGATGTTATGACAAACAGGGAAGTACTTATGATGCACGATCCTCTCAGTAGAGAGCACTATTTATGCAATAGCGAAAATCAGACCTGAAAAAAATCAGGCCTGTACGGGATTCAAACCACTGACCTCTGGGATACTAGTGCAGCGCTCTACCAATTGAGCTAACAAGCCAATTGGGAGCAGTCCGCTAAGTTGATTCATAATAAACCTGTGGTGATAAATCAGATACAATGAATATATGAAGTTCATATATTTTTCAACTGCGGTTGTAGATACATATGATGCACGATCCTCACAGTAGAGAGCGCTATTTATGCTAAAATAGCACTCTCTACTGCAAGGATCGTGCATCATATGTATCTACAACTTAACCGCAGTTCAAAAATATATGAACTTCATATATTCATTGTAACCAAACAGGGAAGTGTATGGTCTTTTATCTTGCAGTTCTTTGCATTACTTTTCATTGTTTTTGCACTGGAGATCGCAGCAGGTGCCCTAGGATACGTCTACAAGGATAAGGTACATTGCTTTTGAAAGTATAGTCATGTTGTCTGTGTATAATGTATATGTACCCTGTATACAACACTCAATAGCATGAGGAGTCAAATGAGATCACAGAATATATAAAATTGGTCACATTCATGCTAAAATCGCCCTGTTTTATATCAAATACAGTGATCACTTAGTAACTTAAGTGATGAAAATCATAAACTTTGGGCAGTATTGACAGTCTTTACTAACTCACAGGCAAACCCAATCAGTGAGCAAGACATAAATACACATTCTTTATGTGTTATTGCTATCTGCACCTTATGTGATGGTTCAACATATGATACACTCAAATTTCACGACTTGCAAGTGGTATTCAAGGCAAAGAAAAATATGAGCAATAAGCAAATTAATGCTTTGCTTAAATTATATATGAAAAAAATATTATGTACTTCTAACTGGGTGAAAACAAGGGCAGACCAACTTTTAAACATTACCCTCAAAATGAAGGGAAAGACACCTTCACCCTTCCTTTAGATTTATCCACTGCACCCTAACCTTCAGCAATCGTATCTCTTTTCCCTCCACCCTTTCCCTCTACCCCTCACCTGTATTTTAGCAATGCCATACTTTAAACTTTACCTTGGTCTATTGTGTGGCTAAAGATTGAGTGCCAAAGTATTTTCACTTTGATGAAGGGCTAACACTCTAAACGTCAGCTCTTTAACTCTATGGCTAATTTACAATTTCAATGTAGTTGATAAACCAAATTACCAATATGTTGGTTTTTTTTTTTCTTGTTTCTAACATAATAGCAAGGAGAGTCATGAGTTAGGAAATACACATAACTCTTTTGTAGCTTTTAAGGTGGTACCATAGGCCAACTCAGCCATTTTGGAATGCCGTTATTTTCTCAAATAGTAAAGAATATTGTCCAAGTAGTCTATTTGCAAATTTTCATTGTTAGAAAATGTTCTGTTTTCAATATACATGTAATGGAAGTTTGGTTTTGAAGGTAGAATCTTGACGTAGCAAAATTGAGATACAGTCCTGGTCTTATGGTATTTGTAGTTCATGTGGTATTTCTTTCAGTTAAGGTTTCTGACACATCCATTTCTTAAGTAACCATTTGAAATACAAAGGGTTCTCTTACCAGGGATGTAACAAGGGAAACAGCTCTACAGCAGCTGACCACTTATATTTTCTAAGCAATGCAGGGTTTCGTTAGCCTTTATGTAAGTTGCAAAGCAGAGCTAAATTGGCCAAATTAGCATCTTAAGAGACTTATTTATGAACAAGTTGGTGATATCCACTATTTTTTTTTCTCTGTCTTAAGGCTAAAAGCTTTGTGCATGATGGTTTCCAAGATGCAATCAAGCATTATGATGATAAAGACACAAATTTAGATAAAGCTGTAGATGGTCTCCAGGAAAATGTTAGTATATACTCTATGTTATTTCAGTAGAACTGCATCATTATGGGAAGCTCTGAGTTTTATCCCAAAAGAACAATTTTCAATTACTGAAATAATCAATTCAAAAAGTTAAAATTTACTTAATATGCACTGTAATAAATAATTTACAAGAAAATAAATTGTAAATCTGTCTGAAAGCTCTTGCCTTAGCAATGTTTCATGTGACCAAAGCACCTTAATTTTGGTTTCTGTATGCATCCATGCATACAGAGGGGTTAGAGGGTGTCCTGAATACAGACTCCTTTTGATTTAATTTGAGAAAAATAAATTGGGAACTTAGTCATAGGTTTCACTGAATTTGCAGATTGAATTGTGAAAAAAACCATGTATATTTGGACTAGACCAGACAGTGAAGAAAGTATTACAAAATATCTAAGAACCATATTGGTTGACAGTGGTTTACTCTAAGGATCTCAGTGTAGAGTAATTTTAACACCACTGAATGTTTATGTTTTGTAGCTGAAATGTTGTGGCAACACTGGCAGTATTGATTGGTTTCCATATTTTTTGAAACACCATCATTATCCTTATTCTTGCTGTCCCAAAGATGCACAGATTTGTACAAAACGGCACATTTACTCTGAGGTATGTACCAGCAATAAACTTATTCATTTTTACCCATAAATTAAACTTAGTGGAACTATTGAATTAAAAGACAAATTCTGGTCTTTATCCACCTCCAAACAGCCACTAAGGATGCAAGGTTTGTACAACCCACATACCCCGGTACCTTAGGATGGGTAAACTAGGAGAGTGACTTGTATCATTATGGTTAGCTCTTTCAGCTTTAAGAGCCACTGACCATAAATATTGAGAATCCACTGACAGGTGCAAAATTTCATAATTCACTTTCTTTTTCCCAAAGGACCCTTTTGATGAACTTTTTTCAAAAATTATATAGAAAAGTTCTATCATGCCTTGCTTTCTCCAAGAAGCAACAATACCTTTGGAGGTATTGTTGACAAGACAATGATAGTCATGAGACCGAACCAGGCTTATTTATTAAGTGACTGGTAATTTTATGGAGCATTTATGGTACATGTGCATTGTATGTAGGGCTGCTTGAAAAAATTGACCGAGGAGGTTAAAGACAACCTTAGTTACATTATGGGATCAGGTATTGGACTGGCTGTGCTTCAAGTAAGTACCATACATAAGCAGAAATATTTCCATTCAGTAGAAATATTTATTTGGGAATTAAAATTATGAATTTTTCTTACATAAAACTGAAAGCCTTTTTACTTTCTCAATCTTCCATGTCAGTAAAATTACATCTTGTCCTTTGTCCAGTGGTTTTTTTTTTTAATGTATTTTATTTTTTCTGCTGACTTTTAGCACTGCCCTTGTTTACAGCTTGAGGTTGTATTTCACTCTCAATTACTTGTGGCTTGATTTCTTAAAGCTGCAATTTTTTATTTGGAGCAAATTATTCAATTTGAAGGTAGAAGAAGGTGACTTAAAAACATCTCTTTTTCAACAGCTTCTGGGAATGATTGGAGCATGTTGGTTGATGTGTATTCGGCAGTCTGGATACCTTCAACTGGAGGGTGGATTACGAGTCTGATCAGATGGATACGCACTGCTAATTCTTTTGTTAAACTTGGCAGATTTAAAGCTGTTATTTTCTGTTTTAGTAATATAATGTGGATCATGATGTGAAGTGTTGTTCAAGTTAGATCACTAGTCTGTTTGAATAGACAGCTGCTTAAATTTATAGCCTAGTATAGTGTTTTGAGTAACAATCTTGGTTGGTTTTTAATCTGCTATCCGATATGGATGCAATTGTTTGTAATGGATTGATCAATTAAAGTGTAGATTCCCTATGTTAATTTAAA